GGTTCTATAGAACCGGTGCGAACCGGCTGAATCCCACTACTTTCTATGAGTGAGTCTAACATTAAATCCGGCTGCGGAAAAAAGTCAAACATTATATACTAACAAAAACTGGACTTTAAGATACATTTAATTTAACCACCCTGAGCTGTGTTACTCTCTGTTTTTGTGGCTAGTTGAGAGGCGGCCGGACAGGAAGGTTTTTGAGATAAAAGTACGTTCAGGGGCTATAAAAATTTCCGCTGTTTTTGATTTTGTGTATGAAGCAGGTACGTGAACTCTGTTTTTAATTGTATTCCTGTTAGTCTCGCATCATTCGTCATTTACTATTTTTACGTCATTGTTTAGCTTGTGCGCTATTTGTGTTACTGTCTGTGTATAAACGTAGCGTTCAAGGAACGACAAAACTTGGATTCGAAAATTCGAGTCATATAGACAAGTTTTTAAACAGTTTCTGTTGTGACTATTTGCGCACGATGAAAGGTTACAATATCGATTATGACATGTGATAACAACAATGTATATTTCATTTTTGATTTAATCTCTCGTTGTTGCGCCATAATCTGTCATGATCCATTTGGCTTCATTGAGAAATCAATAACTATTCCAAACCAGATATAGCTTTGAAGGTATGAGCGGATAACACCGGTACCCTCATTCACAGGTATATAGGAATACTAAATCATATATTTTCATATATCTATATAATTTTATTAATGTTGAACTTAATTTTAAAATGATGTCACAATATCAATAACGTGACGTCACAATTGAGGGAGGGATATAAACGAATTGATCCCCGAACATTTGAGGTAGCAATAGAAAGTATACAGCGATGCGATCTCCCTATTTTGGAATAAATGGCCATCAATAATTATTTCGTCCCCTCTTTCACTGCAAAAGTCGAATCGATATGAAAATGGTTCGAAGTATTTTAAATCAGATATGAATTGTCGATTGTAAGGTATCAGCGGATAACCCAGTATTTAGAATGATTAACTCATATACTTTCTTTTGTCTATATAGTGTTAATAAGGAGGTAAATAATTTTAAAAATCACGTCACAACTATTTTAAAAAACTTGACGTCATAAGACAGGGACCTTACCCCACCCTCTAAATATACGCTTGCAAATATAGCGATTCAAGACGAGTGGAGAGCTGACATTCAGAACACGTAGTACCCCGCGAGCATGTCGTTTGCGAAGGGCCAGTCTGGGTAGAGATAATGATGAAACAGTAACTGAAAATTAAGGTTTTGTAATAATCTTTGCATTTCACTAAGTTTTATCTCAATACATTGCAATAGGACATCATCAAAATAATATTTTCTACATAGGCCAAAACTAAATGGCCAGGAGTGTCGAGCTTGAGGCCAAATACGGTGCATATGTTGCAGTGGCTAAAGGCCAGCACTGACCAAGTAAGTCCATACGCTGGATCGATTGCTGGTTACGTTTCGGAGAATTTACCTGACGTCACCAACGATGAAGTCACTTTTTTCCTAAATTACATCATGAGTGCGAGTGTTAACGAACGTTGTATTCTACTGTGTTGGGATATAGTCATAAAATTCAAGTCAAGCGCTCACAGTAATAATTGAAAGTGGGATCCATGACAAAAACGAGGATTTACGCACTCGTTCTGAAATACAGCGTATTCAGTTACAATTTCAATTTTGTAATGGAGTCAGTTCTCAATAAATCTTAACCTGATTCTTTTTATTTTGATCGGTGTTTATTATTTAAGTTTTCCTTCCATTAAATACACTTATATGGACTAACAAACTCCATATGGCATCGATAAATTCCCTCTGCGATTCGATAAAGTTTCAAGACTTTATGAGCACGCTGTATTGTTGCAGACTTGTCACCACTATTTGTAAACTCATTGAAAGACGGTATTTCCAGAAATTATGGACTAAAATAGCAATTCCGTGACCGGTATTTAGTCAACTATCACGAAACAATCAATTCCTCTCGAAAATTAATTCACAATTTGGAGTATTGATTATGACCTCACTAATAATATCGAGGGCTCTTGTTTTGTATTAATCATTTTGTTTTGCAAATCAATTGCAAAGCGCGTATAAAGGTAACGGTACTATTCAGTCTAACAGAGAATAAGATTCAGCCATTTTTAGCTGTCTTGGCTTCTAAGTAGGTATATATTCCATAATGGCTAGGTATAGATATATTGGTGGACGCTAGAAAAACGGTAAATTTGTCAAACAGCAATTTATTCTTACAAAAAATAACTTAAACATAGTTTTTAAAAGGCATACGTTATATTACACCCATAGATGCTCAAAATGTCGTCTATGTACTTCAGAACAGTGTCTTTACATGGAAGTCCTAGCTCGCGTAGCATTTTGAAGATTAACGTGTAGAATATCGTTCCAATTCAACCCATACACATTTTATTCGTGATCTCCTCTGACTTTCAAATTTACTGCTCTTCTAGCGACCACTCTGTAGATCTAGTACAGCGAGTAAGTAATTTAGGTGTTGTTTATGTTGTATTTGAGTGGGGAATTAGCGCGCAGTAATCAAGGTAAAGGTTAGTGTACTATTCAATTTTAGCAAATAGTTTCTGCAATACGTACAATAGCCCAAAACTTGATACATTTGCGTTTTTTTAGTTTTATTCTCAGACCAAGCCTCGTTTTTCAAGGTTTGTGATTTTTTGAATGTGTTGGTGAGCGGACACATGATATTTAAGATTTTTCTCGCTATACAGAATTCTCCATTTTATTCAGTGTAGGCCTATATTATGCAGTTTTCAAAATAAACTAAGTTATTGGACACGTAGTGGACATAGCGATCGTTTTGTTATTATGTTGTTCTTTGTATCGTTTTGAAGAAATCCCTTTTCTCCTTGAATCCTGGACCAATTGCTTTGAAATTTGCAGTGAGTGAAGATTATATTTTTTGCTAGAGGACTGTTACTTTTATTTTTTGCTATGACGTCATCAAAATTATGTGGCTCTACGTGTCCATATATTTGAGCATAGCTCTCTCGTTTATTATCATCTTTAGTCAGGAATCTTTGATTCAGTGAAATATATTTCAGAAGATGTAACCGATGAACGCGCTATGCACATTTTTAGACAGAAAGTCACGTTAATATGGCTAGATGAATCAGTTTTTGATTCTTATTTTGTCAACGGAAGATATTTTTAAAAAAATCCTGGGTTGCAATAGAAGTTTTACAAGATTTGCTTGACGTCTCGAAACAATAAATCTAACAATAAATTATAACTTTTGGATGAATACCGTTTTTCGTCTCCTTGGCTTTTAGATAGATGTACATTGCATATTGGCGAGTTCTAGATATTGTACGTATAACAGCGGTTCCCAACCGTGGCACACCAAGGGGGGCACAGAGCAGTTGGAGGGAAGCACAATGCTAGGCGCAAAATTAATTTTACTTATTCCTTCACAAGAAAACTCCATTTTCCTAGTTTCATTGCTTGACAAGGTTATTCCACACGGTGTTTTCGCTTTGTTGAACATGAACTGTTTGAACATAATGGTATTTTGAATCTAACAATCGAAATAACACTATAAGTACACTGGAATGATAAACAGATGCATGAGTGCCAAGGGCCACCGGAAAAGGGCCGCGAGCCATAAAAGTATGTTAACAACTGGACGTATAATTAGTATAGCCTACAGGATTTCCCATTCGGCGATAAATTTCCCACAAAGGAAGAAATTTAACGTTTTTAACGTTTTGAAAGGGATATTTTACTTTGTAATTGCGTGTAGTATTTCTATTATTTTCACTTATTTCGTTTTAGTGTAAAACGAATATTTGTAATATTTTTCCATATTTCAATAAAACGATTCATATTATACATAAGTCAGAGTTCGAGTTGTCCACAGATAAGGTGCAAGGCTTGAAAGATTGAACACATAACACAGAAAGTATTTTTACGCGTAGGATGAAATAAATAAATTCAGAAATCGGCCATAAGGGGAAGAATATATCGGAAGGGGTTGGAAAATCACCATGATATAAGTTTTTGTTTAAATTCCAAAACAAGTCGAGACGGTTTTTCAAATTGGAAAACTAGTACGTTTTACCTGAACAATGGTGTGAAATGAAAATATGAACTCGCGTAATATGTGTACCAAATTAGGGCATAATTTTATTCCGAGTTTCCTTATTTTAACTCTATTACGAGTTCGGGGACTGTTTTTGTTAGCCAAGTGAATATTCCCCCTGTCTATTAGTTACCTCCATGTTGATACATATACTTCTGGAAATAAAAATTCACTCGGAATTATTTAGACGTATAGTATGGGAACCGCTGGTATAGTACTTAATTTATGCAAATATTCAGAAAATGAATAATCGTCTCGCAATAATGAGGATTACGAAAGACACTAATAAGCTCATTATTTGGTGAGCAGCCTGTTTGTACGACCAATCTATACCAGTCTTAGAAGTAAATAGCATCCGTGGTACTATATATTGTCATTACTTCAGCACTGATTTCGGTACTCCCGTAGTATCTGTACCAGGTTAGAGTTAGGCCATAATTTTGATTCGATTCTCCTTATTTTAGTTCTATTACGAGTTCGGGGACTGTTTGAGTCGCGAGATTTTACAAAATTAAATTTTTAAAAAATTTGGTTTGCTTAAAAATTAGTTGGGAACCACTGTTATATCTCATTTGTTCGGATCATTAGAGCAGTAAATGACTTTACTCGGGATCATATTATTTATATAATGAGATTACATCAGGCGTTCGCCGCAAACAACAGAAGCACTTTTTTCTGAGGTGTTTTTCGACGCTTTCACTCAGAACAAGGTTCTGTATAAGAAAACGCTGATACTTGCATTCAAGGGCGTGTCTTGCATTCAGAGTGAGCAAAGGTGCAGGCACCTCGGGCAACACGTTGTAGTGGCAGCAGATATGAGTTTGTTGCTTAGATTTTTGATTTAATTTGTAATACAAACATTATACGAAGAGATAACATGTATATTTAAAAACAATTTATTTCATTCAAAACACAGAAACGTTACCTAAACTTAAAAACTATTAACGTTATCATTGCGGTGACGTCATGGAGCGTAACAATGTCCGTACTAGAATGTGGATGAAGACTTTCCGAGATAAACAGGACGAGGGGAACACAGGAATGAGCAGGAGGAGCACGGTTGATGACTCTCGGAGAATTTATCCGTCACGTAGACCGATTCCACCGAATAACAACGCGACCGGACTAGGTGAGATTTTTGTTATTATCTGGGGATTATAGTAAAGTTGGAATTGCATGATTATCCGATAATCCGGGTTTAAAATATTGACTCCTTGCACCCGAGTCTGAAATAAGAATGGGATAGTGATTTCACAGTCACTCGAAAGGTAGCCTTACCGATACCGCAGTGTACAGCTTCACCGGACCACAATATCACGAAGGCGGAACCGCCACGAGAAGCGCAAATTTTGGTGACGTCATCGCACATAAAAAAAACGAATCCATCAGAGCCCACAGGTTCCATCACAAAAGTCATATTTTTCAGTCGATTCTGTTACAACAGAACATTAACAGTAACCAGTAATGCTAACCGGTTCCCTGATCTCATAAAATTCCGTGAGACGGTTCTATAGAACCGGTGCGAACCGGCTGAATCCCACCACTGCCTTATAGCGAAAAAAAACTCTTAAACCATACCAATTTCAAATCCATTGGTCCAATGGTTAAAGAGAAAAGTATTTTTTCATATTGATAAGAAAAAAAATACCAACGAGCTGATCAACTACAACAGTGGTCGGCAAACTGCGCTCCGCGACGCCCTCGAGTGACGTCACTTTTAATTCATAAAAACAAAAAGTTGACCACAAAATTATTATTATTATCTGCGCAGTTGTATGGCGTTTGTTTTGTAGTAATTAGCCAATCTTGCCTATCGTTAGATATAAAAACATAGAAATAAGACTCGAAAGTGCGTCATAATTTGGAGTTTTATATAGCGATTGTTCATAGGCGGAAACGCCATTTTCATGTCTTTTTTTGGTGCTCCCGAAGTATGCGAACCAAGATGGCGGACATCGAAACGTAACATGGGTAACAGGTTAGAGTTAGGCGATAATTTTTTTCCAGTTTTCCTTATTTTAGTCCTATTATCAGTTCGAAGACTAGCCAAGAGCCTCCCGTAGTATTTATACCTAAAATTATGGCCTAACCCTAACCTAGTACTCATATTACATTCCGATGTCCGCCATCTTGGTTCGCATACTTCAGGAGCCCCCTTTTTTTCCTAGTTTTTGTTTGCATCAAGTTCATGTTTATTTTGTTGCAAAATAAACTACTGACTAGCCCGCGCGCTACTGGACCCATTAGTACATAAAGTTTGCCGGTCGCGTAACTACAACATAATAACAAAATGATCCATAGGTCATTTTGTGTCCAATAATGTTATTCTACTTTGGTATTTATATATTCTAACTCTAGCGTTTCTTATTGCATTATGTTTCGTTGATCTAATGATGTTCCCCATCGGTAAATGCATTCGAGTTTGTCGGATCATTTCAAATTAAATTTCACCGCAATTCGGTGTTCCCCTTCGTGTAAACTTTCCGTTTTGACTATCGTACTCTATCGTTATGATGTTCGCCGTTATGACGTCATATAATCAATTCAGCCATTCAGGACTTGCAACGGGCGTATAACCTCTGATCAAGTTTGTTTTACGCGTCAATAGGAGTTAAAACTCACAAAATAAATGGCCATCAATGCCTTGTATTTTGCAATTGAGGTATAATATTGGAATATATTTGTCGGACCGGCAGAAAGGTTGACAACGGACCGGTACTGGCAGTCGCGAAAACGTTTCCATGACCCTTCACCCCTGAAAAATATCCCTATATTTCATTATTGCAAAATTTTCAACGCTGATTTTAAGAGTGTTTTGGAGAGTTGGCGCGCACAAATTGGCTCTCATGTTCAAAACTGAACCTCGTACCGATAGCTAATTTTAGCCTATCGCAGCGTTCGCGGTATCAATTTTTGATTATTTCAAGTAAACTAAAGGTCTTCGAACGACATACTGACAATTAAAATACTTCATTTACAACTATTTATTGGAAACACAACTAAAAACTGATAAATAACACGCAAAAATACCATAAAGAGGCCAGGTTTACAACCACGCTTGAATCTCTGTCTGTGCGAAAGAAGTGTCGAAGCGACGGCATGAATTGTAATTGTTACGTCATTGTTGACTTATTGCTTATTTGTGTTTGTAACGGAAATAAACAAGGAAATCGATTGTTCTGGAAACGTTCACAGACCTCGTTTCTTCTAGATAAGTTCTCCTCTTAGCTGCGCTTGTTCGAAGCCTCGTTTACAGAGAATATTAATAATCGCGCAAATGAAAAGTATTTTCATCTTCACAATGGGAACATTGGCGATGACATAGGTCTGGCGCGGGGCACAACCCCAAGAAATCGAGTTATTGATATCACGGTTTTACCGTGTCCGGACAATTCGCCGTAGGAAATCTCGACCCAGGAAATTTTGTCTAATAAGAAAAATCGCAAAAACATTAAAACAGTTAGGTTAATAAGGTTAGAGTATGCTCTTAAATAACGAATCTTTTTTAAATAAGGCAATTTTTCATAGGCGATTATTCCTATGCGGAGAATTGTCCTAGAACCCGGTTTTACAACTTCGCTCACCTGAGTTACTTTTCCTAATCACAATGGGAACACTGGCGATGATACTTCAGACTAATGTGTGATCCATGCATATCTGATTAGGACAGAATTTTAAATGTTTTACATCGTTTGCGGCGAAGTTTAAACGTCGAAGTTTACTTTGGAACTCAGTCAAGATATAGATCGGTTAAAGATAGCAGGCTTTCTGTACAGGTAGCTTGTCGTACCGTATAAAGCAGTGGTTCTCAAAATATGGGGGCGCACCCCACAAGGGGTCGCAGACAATTTTTCGATGGGGAGTGAAGTTAATTAAAAATAAAAATAAATTGTTAGATTTGATCTTTCCCGCCTTATTTTGGATATTTACATTTTTTATTCTGGATATTTACGTTCCATCCACGTATTTTCAACGTGTTTTTTGAAAAAATATAATTTCGCCTTTACTATCTGTTATTTGTAGCTAATTGTTAGCGTGGCTTTCGCAAATTTGCGCATAAGTAATTTCTCTGCATTGGATAGTGGTGTGGTTTAAACTTAAATTATTTTTAGCCCACAGCAAGAATACTAATTTTAAAATTCGCTTGAACTAAATTATTTGCTCATATTCATTCGCCTCCTAAATGATTCTAAGAAAAATATTGCGATAAGATCTGTAGATATGATTACCTTGGAACTCATTCAAGATATAGATCGGTTGAAGATAGCTGGCGTGCTATACGAGTGTTGGCGGACAAAGTACATTGTGAGATTCGGATTAGGATAGATTCGCTTAATTTTGGATATCCTGACTGAACATGGCGCACTGTTATTTCTTCTCATTGTCTGTTGCGTTTCTTCGATTCTGTTTATACTAGATTAGGAGTGGATAAGCTGTCGTGCCGCATGAACTTATTCTGAGATAATTTATGATGGAAGTAATCAAATAAAACTGAACACAGAAGTAGTGGTGGCAAAAGCGTACACAGCCCAAAATTGCTGGGTGGGGAGGAAAAATTTTTTTTGTATCATGACGTAATACGACGCTTACTTTTGCCTTTTGCTCCGAACAAATCCAGATAAATATAGCCACTGATATTTAACAATTGCTCTACAGACTTGCTTTGCTGCTGAGCATATAAGCACGCATTTTCATCTATCTCGGTTGGTTTACTTGGAAAAAGAAATATTGATAGCAAGCCATAGGAAACGTCCGGTTTTTAGTAAATCGCACGATGGTGTACGAAGTTATGTCTTACAGCAAATTCCTCAAAATTGAAATTAAAAAACTTGAAAAAATAAATGTGGAAAGTTCGACAACATGACAGTACCATACCTACTTTGTAGTGAAGTTATCATAAATGACGTTTTAAAAATATTATATTTATCACGAAATTTTATAAATTCCCAAACTAAATTATTGAACGATAGGTAGATATTGATGCTCTTACATATTGCTTATGGAAGCCGATCGGCCAACTTTGACGGCGAAAAAGAGTGGAGCAACGGGATTAGGTGTGTGTAGTAAGAAAATATATAGCGCTTTTAACAATTTGAGTCTTTTGCGCCAGACAATTCAAACCAAAATTTTTATATGTTTATTGTATTCCTTTGATGTCACAAAATCAAGTAGAGAAGGGAAAATGCAAGGGTTGCTTGAGATAGTTTATTGGTTATCTAAATTGCAAGGTATTTTTATCTAGGACGGGTCGGCATTAGCGAAAAACAATATAAATGTGCAAAAACCTTGCAAAAATGTGCAGTTTATAAGTTTCCCAGAGTAGTGCAGTGCTAAAAATCGAACTGAACTTAATCAGTTGCCATCTACGGGGGCGTTGCCAGAAGTTTCGAAAATTCTAATTGTCGAATTAGATCGAAGCGACTAGCGCAGACATTGCCAAATCCGGCCCGTCGGGTGATTTAATCCGGCCCGCCAGATGCTGCCACAACCAAGCTAAAAGTAAAATTTGATGTTTTAGCTGAAAATAGCTCAAGGAATTTGTTGAGATACCGATTAAATTTAGTTTTGGCACGAGGCTTATTGTTTTCCGCGGTTGCTTTTGTACCACAGTAAATATTGTCACAAAATGTATATAAATAACTTTTTACATCACACTTACATGGCCCGCCAGTCTAGATGGGCAAAATTTCTGGCCCTGGGTTCAAAAACCTTGCCCGCCCCTGGACTAGCGGGTCCAGGTTTTCAACAACCTCGAGAAAATTGATTTTCCCGACCCCCACTGGCTACGACCCTGGCCGTCTAACTCCTCAGATCTTGATAGTTTGTAATATGTAAAATTGAAAATTCTGTTAACGAGCACCCTTGTTCGATATTTTTTTTTTCATTTTTGTAAAACGCCTATTTCGCAATTTCTTTATTTTGGCTTAATCGGGCAATATCAGATGAGGCGTGCAGGCCAAGGGCGCAGCGAGGAGTTTTCAAAAGAGATGGTCTGAAATTTATATTTGCCAAGATAGACCGACCGTAACAGCTACCGGGTCCGGGTAATTTGTCAAGAGGTCAGAAATGCGTTTCAAGCTCCGAAAAATTTATATGTGTGATACATAAAAATGCATTTTTTATATTTTAAAACTGTGTACCGACCCCCATCCGTATTTGAATATTTTTTATTTCTACCTTTTCTTCAGGTTTTCGTCTCAAAGTTCGAGTTTGTCCGAAACTCGATCAAGTCTTCCTCGCGTTCGTCACCATATTGCTGATTGTGTCGTTAGATCTTTGTGTTCTCACAATCGTCAATGTGGGACCTGGGTTGATGAGCACGAAATTTTCGCCTGCTAAATGCAAAAGTGAGTATGACGTTATAAGTATCTCGACTCTTATTTAGAAAAAACATTTATTGCGTCACCAATACATTTTTTGCTAATTGTGAAATTACTATGACGTCATCGTATATGATTTCATAAAACGATTGCCTGCTAATTGTAAAGGTAAGTTGGTATGGCTTCACAACTTTTTTGTCTGCATTTACAAAAACGATTACGACGCTACTAATATATTTTTTAATAATTTTAAAAGTGCGTGTGACGTCATAAAATTTTCGTGTGCTAATTGTAAAAAAAAGGTAGAATTGGCATTACGTCATCACATTTTCGTCTGTTAGTTATATATATGACATCCGCACTGTAATTTTTTCAATTGTGAAAATGAATATGACCTCGTAACACTGTTGCCTGATAATCGCACAGGTGAATGTTGAGTTATTATAGAGTTTTCGTCTGCTAGTTACAAAGTAAATATGACGTCACAAATATTATTTTTCGTTAATTGTGAACTTTAGCATACTGTCGTAAAGTTTTTCCCGAGGAATGATAAATTAAGTCTGAGATCCGAAATTTTAAATGTAATTATAAAAGTACGTTCTGCCACAATAAAATATATCTTGTCGACGCTCTTTTATTTATCGAACGGAATCGAACTCATAACATATACTTTAGAACAGTGGTTCTCAACCGCCGGTCCGTTGACCGGTGCCGGTCCGCTAAATATTTTCCAATATTAATATATTATAAGCAATTTGCCACGTAAATGTCCAGGCATAGAAAGTTGCCATCATCACAGTTTTGGATATATCTTGAAAACGAATATCCCGAGTGACAGAGTCATTAAATTACTGTTTCAACGATCTCATCAAGACCAAACAGAGAAATCGTGTGGAAGTCAACGCTCTATTTCGCCTCGCAGAAACTTAATTGGAACCGCGTTTAACACGTATAATATCAAGACAGCAGCAAATTTTTTATTGAATCGAATTGTCTTCTTTTGCTCCGCCTACTTTTGCCGGAATTGCATTCTTTCGATTATGTTTTGTTTTCATGACATTTTTGGGTAATTTTGAAGGTCCGCCGGTCGGCAAAATTTGTTATGAATTTTACCGGTCCGCGAACTGGGAAAGATTGAGAATCACTGCTTTAGAACAATAATTTTATGCAGCGTTTTCACGCCTTGAGTCAGTAACCAGTAGCTTTCCACCATACTAAAATAGACTTTATGAATAAACAATGCGAAAAGAAGTAAAATGGTACTTCAGGTTGAAGGGAGTCGCGAGAAACTAATATTGGTTGCTGCACAGAGACACCCGTCCGAACAAGGCTTTGTGAAATCGGCCACTGATGCGCAATTTTTGTAAGGACTGCAATCTCTTCAGTTCAGAATTGCCGTTTCAATTTATAACAGTAATTCTCAAACGGTGAGGCACTCCCCACAAGGGAGGCGTAGACAATTTTTTGAGGGGACGTGAAGCTAATTAGAAATAAAAATATTTGTTAGGTTTGATCTCTCCCGCCTTATTTTGGATATTTACGTTCAACCCACGTATTTTCGACGTGTTTTGTGACTATTCATTATTTCGCCTTGCTATCTGTTATTTGTAGCTTATTGTTATCTAGTTATTTTGAAGGAGGGCACAGAACTTGACGAATTCTAAAAAGGGGGCGCTGCTTAAAAAGATTGAAAACCACTGATTATAACATTTATGAAACTTTTATTTCAGTTGTCGGGAAGTCGATTAGCAATTCATCATTCTGTTATATTTCATCAATCGAAAACCATGGAAAAGTATTATGGTTTCCATGCCTACGAGTATACGTCACACTTGATGATCGTGATGACGTCAACGATGATGTGACGTCACAAGATCTTAGTTTGTCGAAAATTATCTCTCCACCTCTTCTCTCTGTGACACCAACAATATCCCCCGAAACGGACAATGACGTCATAGAATCAAGTTCAGTGACGTCACAAAAAAATGAAAAGTTGTTGTTATATCAGAATGAGTTTCATCTTGTGGGAGGAGACTATAAAACTCGGCCGTGTTCCTACCTACCGGATTACTGCTCGGGTAAGGCGCGGGATATCGCTTGGCGCGTTTATAACTATTCAAAAACAATTGGGGAGGTAAACGACACGACTCCATGTTATTATAGCACCACTAGTGGACTCGATGTCGCCTCTAGTGCCGTGGCAATGAAATTTAAAACAGTTCGACCATCTGACATGGTGCATTCCTTACTATGGCCTGTTATTGGTATATTTGTGAGTGTTATTTCTTGCACTTTGTTTTGGAAGAAGAATCATCACCGGGTTCACAGAATGTTTATATATAACGCATGGTCACAGTCATGATATAACAAAGTCGCAATATTGTCGTTATTTACATGCAAACATGCGAAAACAGAATTTTTGTGCGAGTATCAGATCTTGATATCGGTAACTCGTTAACTAATCCCATACCCGACATGGACAGTAACATGACACGAGGCCTTGTCCACCATGATATCCACAAAGAGTCGGCTGCGATGTCCACCATCATCAAATCCATGCTTCTGAAACAATTAACTGGCTAACTAATCTCATACCCGACATATATTGGTAACCAGACGAAAGGCCGTGGTTCACCATATGATTAAGCCGTCTTATCGGATTTCCTATCCCCCGGATAAATATGAAAATCTTGTGTTATTCTGATAACTGTACAAGAGGTATAGTTCGCTATATGATTAGGCCGTATTATCGACTTTCCTCTTTCCGGGGTAAATTCAAAAACCATATGCCTTGCAGGCTCAAAGGAAAGTCGAAAAGAAGCTTGTATCTGGGGCGGTGGTGTCGAGACTGATGCTTTTGCTGGTAATAAGTCACAGCGAGTCAGGGTTGTATTTTTCAACTTTTGCGTGGCGGAAGTCTATACTTTCTAAATTCGAGAGTCGATATTTTTTTAAAACTTTTCATAAGTCATGAACCACTAATATGTTGCAACAAAAGTTGGAAATATTTGCGATAAAAATTTATTTTGTTACTCGAAGTCAGAATTCTGAGAATTATTGAACCCAGAGCTCCGCGACCCCCAAGCCTGCTTGCGATTTAACCACTAACCGAGCAAAAATATGCACATGAGCAATGTTCCCTCTGAACAATGAAGAAATTTTGGCGTTCTAACCGAGTAATAAGTGGGCCAACAACAAACTTTCTCAACCTGCCAACCGAGCACATTGTTACATTACATCGAAATACTTCTGTGCGCAGTAAATCTATGCGTGTGCGCAGCCTCTGAAAGCTGGGTGCGCGCGCACACCTTGGCTTAGAGGGAACACTGCACATGAGCAACTAATAGGTGAAAAGTTGCAATTTCTGAGAAAACGGAATGTTTTCTGTTCGCCGTTGACAACGCAATATATATATATATATGTAATACACGCCGGGTGAGATGGTGAGCTGAAACACAGCGAGGGCAGTGATCGCGCAAATTTTCTTGATAACTTGAGTCAGGATTCCAAAATTTGTGTGATCTTTTGTACAAAACCCCCCCCCCAAACGTCCAAAGTTAGTAATCCAGTTAAGGTATCGAATAGAAATGCAAATTGCGCTGAAAATTCAAAATTTTTCCTAATACTAACTGATAACTACTAATTTGCTATTTAGAAACGTGACGGGGGTGTCTTTCCCAAATCTGACATTTTTGCATTTGTGGCGGGGCTTTGTTAAAAAAATCATGGAAATTATGGGGCCCGGAGTCCCCGGCCCCACAACCTGCTTGCAATTTAGCTTTTAGGCGTTGATTTATGTTCCTGAGTTGAAAGCGATCACATCCGTTCTGACTAATATATGAACGTTTTCGCTGTGTTTAATTTGCCAAGACATGTCGTTTCTCTTGATTACCTAAAAGTTCCAACTACTAAGGAAACGGCTACCTATACAGAAACTTATTATTTCATTGAACTCTTATTAATACTACAGGCTGTCTATAATGTTCTTTTACAATTTCAATTTTGTCATGAAGTCAGTTCTCAATAAATCATAACCAGGTTTGTTGTTTCTTAATCAGTAATTATTCAAGTATTCTTACTTCATTGAGTACATCTGTGAGGGCCAGAACAATATATGGCATCAATGAATTTCCTTTGCAATTTTAAAATTTCTAAGACTTTATGGACACCCTATATAATACTTGTATTCATTTTGACGGCGCGACCTATAAAAAAAAAATGTTTCAATTTTTTTGAGTCATCACTCATCAATCTATCGATGATAGCGAGTGTACAAATTTTTGAACGCATTCGAAAATTTAAACTTCAATTATCACGTCTAAATACTTGTTTAAAAGTTCCTGATTTTGTTCAAAAGTTTTCTGAATTAGCCAACTATGAAATTCCTGTAGAAAATGAGATTTTTTCTTTCTTTATTATTCCTTAAAACTGACCAAAGATTTATCAATAAAAGGTAAAGAATGAATATTTCTGTTCTTGAATCGAAGTAGTGTTTGTAAATCTGCTGTGAGTGACTTCAGAGAGGAGGTGAATAAATGAAAGTGACGTCGTAACGTACAAAAAGGGATGTCATTTATCAAAGTCAACAAAAAAGTGACGTCATAAAATCGTTTTAGAAGTTAAATGAAGTATGACAGCATAGCGTACAAAAAGTAACCCTATCAACCGCTTTAGAATAAGCAAGACCTCCCGAACACATTTTACTTTCTTACATGTACAGCCTTTTTCCGAATTCTCAAATTTTATATATAAAGACAGAAAGGTCAACCCGGAACCTTGAGGAATCTCAGAGAGAATTTTTGCGGTGCATTCACTCACAAGTGAAAAAGACTCATCTCTAAGCAAAGTTATGGACACTCATTGAAGTAAGGGAGGCTTATCGCTGTGTAAAGTTACGCACCAACACTGAAATGACAATAGATTCACTGAAACTGCGTAAATAAAATTATGACGGCGCATTACGAGCCAGTAAATACCGAAGGTTGGTTTTCTAATTCCTAAATTTCCTGATTCCAGTTCTTAGTTTAAAGCAACAAACAAAAACCTTTCCCGGCAAATTCGATCACGCGATATAGTTTATTGTGTCACAGTAGCAAAATATTATTTCATCAGTGATTTCATAATATAAAATTATAAATAAAGTATGACCTGAGGTACAAACATTTTATGACATCATAAACGGCTATAATGACATCACAAAGGCACAAAAGTTCGAACAAGCGGAATCCATTTTCCTTCTTTTTTCATGGCTTCCCGCCAAAGTCCTGTGACGTCTTCAATTTTCCCGCCACTTTCTATCATCATAATATAATAAGTACTAATACGTAACAATCGTCCATAAACTTTCGCGCCTCTTCTGTACCTTTCGGCTTTGTCGCTCATTTTTAATTTCAATTGCAACCCGGCTATCAAGGCAGTGAGCGCTGTTAGGAGACTGTGTGTCGTCTGTAATAAGAAAATATAAGGCTAATTGCATTTTTGGAAAAAAAAGAGAGATTATGAGGCTTTTCCATGTCTTCAATACGAACAAGATTTTGTGGAAGCGGCCATTGATATGCGAGGAGTTAGCGGACCGGAGTTATTGTACACTCTGGGCAAGTTTTTGATAGACCTGAATTAATTAAGACATAATATGCAATTGAGTTTATACGAAAGCAACTAATTCTAAGCTTTTGCGCTGGTATATGCGTATTATGCAAGGATACAAGAATAAAGATGGCAATTTTAGGGGATTCAGAAATCTTGCTGCTCAATAGCTTAAATCTATTTTTGTAATGTTTCGTCTATCCGATTCAAAAAACTGTCTTAGTGGTTCATGCTCCGTAAAATGGCGTTTTGTGTGGGCTATATATTGATGACCTGTCCTAGGATAAACTGGAATAGATTAACAACTTTCGCTCTTCTTTCAGTTCTCTGTTTAGTTTTAGTTTGAAGTTCAGTTTGTGAAAATGGGTATTTGGAAAATTAAACTAAAAATGAAAATATATTCAAGTGGCATAAATGAAACAATTGAAGGTTTGCTCACGCGTTTATCCTAGACAAGGCGGACCTCATGAAGTATGCGCACCAGGATGGCGCACAACCTGAACTCAGGTTGTGTACCAGGTTAGGGTTCAGGTTATGCGACATCTTGGTGCGCATACTTCAGGAGTGGTTTGTTCACACGTTAATTCTAGACAAGGCGTATGCGCCTGGAGCTACTATTGCTATTTGGAAGAACCGGGATCTTTCCGATCTGGCATTGTATGCCATAGTGGTTCACAACCTTTTTCGTTAAGCCCCCCCCCCCCCCCCCTCATCTATTTTGGAATTTTTTAGTCCTTTTTAATAAGCATAAAAATTAATTATTTGTTCTATCTTTAATGGAAATTTAGCTAGTTTTATGCGTCAGCAGCACTCACGTTTTGAATGAGTATTATAGTATATAGTATATAATACTAATGTCCGTGGGACATATTTTTCTGCCCCATTCCCACCCCATTCCATCGCATCCCATGGGATTCCCATTGGAATACAATTCAATAAAAATTGTTAAATGTAGGTTTAGCGTCCACTAAAAAGGGCTACATGTACGAAGAGACATGTAGAACAACAAAATTTAGGACTTTTTTAACTTTATATTCAGAACTATTATACACGTGTCCATCAGTCCCTTCACAAAGTATATCGGTAATGCTGAATATATTTTGCTCTTTATAACAAGAGAACTATGCTCAAATATATGGACACGAAGTCCATAACGAAAGGTTTTACCGTCATTTTCCTGAAAATCTTACGGATTTCGTGTCTCATGGGAAATACAAATGTGTACTGTCCCATCCCATGGGATTCCCTTGGGAATCGCATTCCCACGGACAAGCCTGCTAATACAGAATATTAGTAGTTGTACTACAGCTAATACTAAGCGAAATTTCTCCCCAAGAATGACAAACTTCTTTGCTGGGGAATTCCCCACGGTTGGGAAACATTGGTCTACGGCCTACCCTATTTATTTGAGCCATAGATATTAAACCTGATCCACAGCTTAAACGACACGACTACGTTGAGCCTCAAAACACCTAACGTAGCAAAATAAAGAAAAAACACAACACGCTTTCCAGCAGCGGTGAATGGCACGGGAGTGGTTCTAAAACCCCATGTGCCTGCAAACCCCTTATGCTTATCTGGAGTGTCCGCCGACTCCCACAATTTTTAAACCGAAAACATAATAGAAGAACATAGCCTATTCGGACGTTTAAATTAGCTGCCACTCCTCGCATGCATACGCAACAAAAATCGCTCGCTTATTTATTGCAAAGATGCCTATTATTCTTAGCGTGAAAGGTGTGCTCAGTGACTAAGAGGGAGTAGATTTCTTTGTTTGCGATATCTAGCCTGCAACTTCAACATGCTCTACTTACATACCTGTATGAACTGGGGGCTGAAAACCACGTTCAAAAAATCTGAAAAAGACGCTCTACTGCCCCCTTCTGCCTGACCTGACCATTCTGATCTTTTATAAATCCCAAGACTGTGTAGAAATGACGCTCTAGGTTTCTGTCGCTCTGTCTGAAATATATTTCTTTTTATATCCTGATTGTATTGTCGCAAGTTTTGCGTTATACAGTATTTATTTAGCGCAATTCATATAACTTCAGTTTCGTTCAGAGATGACTTTCCTTCACTTCTGAGTGAGCGTACCACTATAATAATTTACAGTCTCCGTAGCTTTTGGCAATTCAGTGATCGCCCTTAACTTTGCTCAAGGATAAATGTCCCAAAACTTATAAGCGAGTGCGTGTGATATAGCAAGTCATCGGAGACAACCGTGAAGTTGGAGGCAACCTTTTGTCCGTATTTCGAGTTTTTTTGAGAATCGGAGTCTAAATTTTGTCACTTGAATCCGGAATCGCTTTAGTATTCCCAAATAAAATTATTAACCAAACCTATTTCTTATTCAATACCATCCAAGCGATCCGGATATGAAATCGAAAATTTCGTAATTCCTGAGTCGGAGTCAAGATTTTGCAATCCGTATCCGGAATCGGTGTTTTTCACCAGAGTAAAATTAAAAGTAAAAACTTCGTCATTTCGCATAGGCCTAAATAATTGTACCCGGGGACACGTTTTTTTTTTTTTTTAAATCCGTAGTTGGCGTCGAGATTTGTTGTATCCGGAGTCAACATTTTACGAACCCCAAAACCGGTTACAAATAATATAAAAACTAACCAAAATCGTTCTTTCCGAAACCATCCATGCGCTGGCGGTTTGCTGTAGTATCATCTGTAGGACTTGAAGAAGTAGAATAGTGAAATTCATTGCAAATGCGTATCGAGAGTATGTGTAAGCTAACTGCTCCCATTTGTTCACTTTCTTTTTAAAACGATCGTGCATTTTGTGGAGTAACGTGGCGTGGTCTACCTGGATGGCGAAAGAAATGAAAAAATTTATAAATTTCCAGAAGTTAGATAGTTAATTTCAGTCTAGTCTAGTCTATCTTTAGTTTTTTGGAATTCATTTTTGATGAATATTGCAACTGAACCATTGAAATTACATATAATTGTTGGAAACACAACAAAATTGCCATATAACACACAAAACTACGAAACGCGACAATATTTACAATAATGTTTGAATATCTGTCTGAGCGGCTGCTAAAATTGTAATTGTTACGCCATTCTTGACTTATTGCAGATTAGTCATTGTTACGGAAATAAACAAGGAAATCGAGGCCAAGGGGAATATCTAACAGCTGTGAAGGCGATTTTTCCAAAAATAACAAGAATTCAGCAGAACGATCCATATGTACACTTCATATCCAAATCCAACAACAGGTTAAATTCCAAAAATTCCGGAATCGGGCTGTACTGGTCGAAAGGCCAGTTGACCATATGATTAGGCCGTCTTAACGGCTTACTTCTCCCCCGAGTTAACATAAAAATTCTATCTTATTTAGTAGCAAAAACATAGGTCTGGTAAACGAACAGAAGACCATGTTCCGCCATATGAAAAAGCTCTTTTATCGGCTTCCCTCTCCGTCAAAACAATTGTTAAAATCTCGGCGCTCCTGAAGTATGTGTACCAATATGAAGATAACTAATTTTGTTCGCCTATTTTACATCAAGTTGTGTAACGGCACTGAAGCCTATAAGCAGGGGGTATATACACTTGGCTAACACAGACAGTCCCCGAACTCGAAATAGAACTAAAATAAGGAAAATCGAAATAAAATTATGGCCTAACCCTAACCTGGTACACATACTACGGTGGTACCAAGATCTTATTCTTGATCAAAATCACCTTTTCTAAGTTCGTTATGTGAATTGCTTTATTAAATATTTCAATGTCTCCCTCGACCTCTTCAGCTTCGGCGGTGTACTGTGATTGTGCTGACGTATCTGTGATGACGTCACTGGCGATACTTGGGGGCATGGCCAATTCTTGTTTCGTAATGCCACGCCCATTTTTCATTGGCGGTATCGATTCCTCGTCATCACTGAAACCTTAAAATAAATGATTTCACTTTCGTTAGATCAATAACCAACATTTTTGTGGCTGTAACTACTGGATAGCCTATGTTAAATAAAGGTGCGGCCCGCGGTTTCACCCAGTTATTTCTATCTAGACTTCCTGTATTAAAGGTTTGCACATTCCTGCGTTAGATAGTTGATATTTCTCGAATATATTTTCCTTTCCTAACAAATTATTTCTAATTTGCCTGCGTTTGAAACTTATCAAAATATGATATACAATGTTTCCATAAATTCCTTTTAGGGATGCGACGAATCCAAATAGATTCGGCTCGGCCGAATCCGAGTATAAGCGCTGGACTCGTGTCGGAGTCCCGAGTCTAATACTTTTACATAGCTCCGAAATAAATACCTAAAGTGATGCTGTTGTGCTGTTGTGGCCGTAAATTAAACATTTGTAAGCTAAGAATATGTACCGGTAATTCAAAACGTTGAACATAAACACTATTGCTTCCGGGATATTCATCTCTTCTAGTTGGCGCTGATAATGATACATAAGAATGCGTAATTGTTGATTAAAATTCGGTGAGGTGTATTTCCTTTCTCTCCATGAAACAGATGAAAAACGAATTCAAACGTCATTACGAGCGCTCAGAAGGAGAGAATCTAATTTAAGGACTCTCTTTTTTTTCGACGCAATCACTAAATATTACTTAATAACACAAATCACGGCGCATTGAAAATCGAAGTAAAATTTATTAACAATAATTTAAAACGAATTACGAGTAAGAATTTACCTACGGCTTTCACTAACAGACGGAAACGATAAATGTGCGAAATCCTGTGCTATGTTTTTTTTTTGTTTTCTTTCTGCGCCTATCATATCTTTTTAATTTTGCATAAAGCCCGTAAACATTGTTCTTTTAAATTTAGTAAGGTCGAAACAGATAAGTAAGACAAATATTGTATTCTATTTGAAATTGAGATTTTAGGAGAAAACACTATTTTGATCACATAGAAATGCCATTATTGCCGATTTATCCAAGTAAATAGTATCGATGTATTAACCCAAAGCTGAGTCACATGGATACTCAACACCGATATTCCTGCGTAAATGAAGTTACATGCAATAACAACCCCCATTAAAGCTCAAAGAGCAGGCTTGATGCATACGCCAGAGCTTTGGTTGAGAAAATTTGAATTTCTCGAAGTCCGGAGTCAGAATTGTTTACAACCCGAAGTCGATCGTAAGTTTTTTTTGACTTTACTGCTCTGTTTTTTTCAAAAACAATGTAATTTGACGATGTTTTAAATTTCTATTCAAAAAACTCCAGTAATCTATAATTGCTTACCTAAAAGTCTTTCTTTTTCTAAGGTACTTTCCGACATGACGTCATCTCCAGGTAAAATTGGCGATGACGTTAAAGTTCTCTTACGTAATGTTGCCATGGTGTTAGAAGTGTGTAGATACAAAGGACTGTAAAAACAAAAATAATAATAAGAAATTATGACATAACATAATATGCTCAGTATATTCTGGCACGTAAAGGGCGGACACTGGAACGTAGTATGTGTACCAGGTTAGGGTTAGGCTGCTCATTTTAGTTCTATTACGAGTTTGGGGACTGTCCGTGTTAACCAAGTAAATATTTTCATGTCCATAGGTTTCAGTCGCTTTACATAACTTGATGTAAAATAGGCGAACAAAATTAGTTAACTCCATGTTGATACACACACTTTTGGAGCGCCGTCATTTCAATCAAATCAGGGTTATGCAACATTTTTTGTCGGTGAGCCATGTAACCAACTTCACACATCCAGCGGGACACGCGAAAATTTAAGTTATCTATGTGGGAAAGGCAAGCGAAGAGAATGCGGCTATCGCTCAGCTTTACAGTAATGAAGACACTGGGGAAGACAGCGAAAGATTTAACGCAGCGACAAAAGAAAGAAACTCTTTGTATTTTTACCCACGTGAGCGCCTTTTTAAACCTGTTACCTGTCAGTTTAGAATTTCATGCTTGATGGGGAAAAATCTGAGTGTCGGCAAGGGAACACTAAATGGTTTAGCGGGCCGGGTTGTGGCCCGCGGGCCGCCTGTTGCACAACCCTGATTTACATAAATCGACTCACATTGAGTCTTTATGGCTTTCAGGTTTACAAATTAATTTTCCATTTTTTTCTCAAAACTTCATAAAAAGCGATCAAGCCCACCTTGTTTCAAGCCTTCCACAAGGTAAAGTCCTTGCCATAGATTGTCTTGCAACTAGTTTTTATTTTAAAAAAGTATTGTAATAAGGCTATGAATAATCGCAACCTAAATCAGTTTAACAGATAGTGTGGTGACCGATTGTTCTCTCATAAACAGCTGCACTCGTTAAGTCTGAGTACTGTCATAACACAAACACAATTTGTAGCTAAGGTAAGCCTAGTTCTATAAGGCGGATAATTACATAGTGCTTTCTGTCTTACAAGAGCCGTATGGACCTTGCTAATTCAGATTACTGGTATATAATAAAATTTATAAAAAAGCTGCCAAAAGCAAGTCCATGAATCTCAAACGAATAACTTGTTACTTATTCCCGTATCAGACATGGATTTGTACCAGACGAAATGCCGTGGTTCGCCTATTGACCACATCAAGCTGTTTTGTCAGCTTTCCTCTCATCCGATATAAATATTAAAATCCTATTCTATCCTAAACGTCACAAATCCGGTAATACAGTATCTCATACGAGTTAAGCTTTGGCTTTTCCGTAGACAGAAGTACTAACAGATTCTAGAATAACTTCGACTTACGCTTTCTCGTTTAGACATAATACCATCACTACTGCTGTACCAGCGGTACATTTAATAACTTGTTTGTCTGGTATTTTATGATTGATTATGTCAATACTTAATTGAACAGATTTTGCGTAATAGATCGTTTTATACGAGACATTTTAATGATATGTGTAAGCTTATGTTAATACCATCTAATCATTTTTTGTATTCGAGTAAAATTGGACAGTTTATTTACAGATTTGCCATCTAAATTTGTTGTACGTTGTATAATTTTGAAAGCGTACAAAGTATCTTTGAAAGAAAGTGCGGATGTCTTTCCTAGCTTACGTATAACTAATTTTATGAGGCCTAAAAGTACTACGTGTACTATCTCACAGTGGGCTCACACGCACTCACTCAGAAGGAAAAAAGACCAATCTCCGAGCTAAGTTACAGGCCATTGAAATTGCAATTATTTATCCATCCTTAATCCTAGCAGTATTAAAAAGAAAGATTAAAATTAGGCTTTCACTTGTCCCATCCTAACTACCGTGTTTGCCCGAAAATAAGACCTAGCCTGAATTCCGAAAATAATTTTAATATAAGTTTTCCCCTTAAAATAAGTCCTAATAGATGTCAATGTGTTATTTATAAGAAAATGGATATCGGTTTTCATATTTTGTATATTTCAAAATCTCGTAATTCTCTACTTTCCAATCTTGTTTTTGACAAATGAAAATAAAAGACATCCTCCAAAATAAGCCCCAGTGTTATTTTTCGAAAAAAAATTGAAATAAGAGCCGGTCTTATTTTCGAGGAAACACGGTAGCAGTTTTAGAGTGGAAGCTAACTAAAACTACCGTCAGTCGTATCACAACTGTATATAGTACACAGTACAGCTAAACTGACAGAATACCACGATTAGGCTAAACCTAAGAATATTCTGTCAATAGATAGTCCAAGTACATATCTAAATGCTGTGGTATTTACATTAGATCCTCAATTTTTACATCGTAATACTCACAATATTATCCCTGGCTTATAATCTTGAATAAATCGAATGAAAATCCTGAAATCTTGACTTCAAGGCTACACGCTCGCTTTCATTATCTTTTGCATTGTAAAAATCAGCTGATTTCTAATTCTGAACGCAGTACTATGACGGCACACACGAACTTCTAAAACACATATGTTGCATCATAAAGCGTAAAACACTAATTCAGGAAATAGCCTGTAGATATAAGCTGTTGAGAATAAATGTAAAGTTAACGATTTTCAATGTTAAATCAACTAGGAAAGCAAAATATCTGTGAACCGGCAATAATGATTCAATCTATATTATTAAAGACTTGGGTTCCTGCCACTAAAAAAAATGTACCATTAAGGACTTGGGTACGTACTATCATGTTATTGTCCACCGCCGTGGGCATTGGGCAGAAATCGGAAATTCCCGTACAACAGGCGCCGCGATTACGCCACTAGTTGAAATAGGCGACTTTATCGTCGAATAACGATCTTTCCGTTGCGTAAAATATCCAATCGATGCCCGATGCGTAGGGTCACCAAAGCAATCCCAGCTGTCTTCATTTACCATATTGTCATCGAGGGTTCATGCGCATATTCTCTGTCTAAATATCGGGTTCGGTTCGAAAAATAGAAAGACGCTAACGATACAAATGATCAGAATTTAGATTTTTTTTTATGTACAGCAAATGGAAAGAATAATGAAATAGCATTGAGAATTTACCTATTCGCCCAAGAATGCTTTTCTGTAGATAACACCTTCAAAAAGACGGGACCGTACCGTGAAAAGTGGGACTGTCCCGCCTAAAGCCGGACGTATGGTAAGCCTACCGATGCGAGCATTCAAAATGTCTTGCTCTTGCCATATGGATTCGGATTTTTGCCTTGCCGTTATGTCTTGCGTCGACTTTTGGTAAAATAAAAGCATTATTATAAATTAATCCCTCATGTGACACAATCAGGATATTTTTCAAATACATCAGAGTCAATAAATAAAGTAATTCTAGTTCTCAATGACATTACACGCTCGGTAGCAATGTGTAAAAAATGGTCAGCTTTTTCACGGGCTTCATTACACCGAAAGTTTAAGAACCCCTGACATTAACATTACTCCTCTTAACCTAGAATAAACAGACCAAGAAATCAGTATACTTAAGCGTGCGAACACGCGTTACCTGGTAGACGGTGTTAAAACCGATATAGACAATAATTTGACCTCCTGAAGTATGCGCACCATGATGGCGCACAACCTGAACTCAGGTTGTGTACCAGGTTACGTTTCAGGTTGTGAGACATCTTGGTGCGCATACTTCAGGAGCACCCAATAGTTAAACACGACACAACTGAAAGTGAGCTAATCTACTTCACCGTCCGTTATTTTCAGCAGTTATTTTTCTCGCGTCAAACAATTGCAAGCTGCTACTTTTTATCAGTATTTAGCTTGAATGTTAGCACTTTCTAATGACCGTTCATCACGCCTCTGATTACTCTACTAACTCGGTCGAGACGCAGGTTATAATCCTGTGACTGATGACTTCAGGATTTTTGAATTTCGTGTCTAGTCGGATACAGCTACTTTAATATCAAGTCCATTGCATATGGAACGAATAAACGGTTAATTAATAAGGTAAATAGTACGACCACATGATATTTCTCACGTTTCAAATTTTATTACATTTTTCCCCGAAAATAAGACCTGTCCTTAATTTTGAAAACGTTCTTAAAGCAATCCCGCTTCCTGAATTAGGACCTAGTCAATAGCGCAAATTGCTTTTTCGAACCAATCAATAGCAAAATATATTTCCTACACGTTTTTAATTGATTATATTAATTATGCTTAGCAGTTATTTTAAATAAAATCGTATTTATTATAAGTAAATTGATATCGGTTTTCATAATTTGTATATTTGAAAATTTTGTACCTGCTTTATTTTCGAGGAAGAGCGATATTTCCACATAAACAAAGCATGAACTAAAACCTACTTACAATTACGCTTCTCTCACGGTGTATCGTTGAAAGAGTAATCCGTTCTTAGTTAGTTACTAATTAATTCCGTAATTAGTAGATTCTGAACTAGCTAACCAAGCTTTAATCTTTGTTTTCATCGCTCATGTATCGACTTTATGCTGATTAGAAGCCAAAATGAACTTTAATCGCAAGTTACACAAACAGACCGGGCACTCGACTCAACAGGGCACTTCAGACCTCATAAGTGCGCACTACACACTACAGGCTACAAAATTCAGAATCATTTACGGTAAGATTTCATATTTATTTCGAAGAACGCAACGGCTGAGATACATAATCAGATAGCGAACCACGGTCTCTCGTCGGAATAAGATAACTAGTTATTTGTTCCAGATGCAAGAGCATGGTGGTACAGGGAGTCGTAACTGGCCAACGATGACATGAACCATTTAAGTACAGGATAGAACTTTAAAATCGAGTAAATAGGTGCGCAGTTTTCATCGTACCGCTCGGCTTTTCTTATCCAAAGCATCGGAACCCCCACTTCGACCCCCCTTCCTTTTTTTAAATGCAAATAAAAAGCATTTTAGATAGCTATTTTTCGTAGCTTGAAAACGCTTTTTTACCCTCAATGCTCTTAACAGCCCCCACTCGCGGCCGAAATTTCCAGGATAAGAATTCTAGAAATTTATTGGCTTAATTTAAATCAAAATTATTGACAGAAACTTACACAGCATCAAGTTAAATAATCATTCTCGACAAATAATTGAAAAAGCTTTCACATGCTTAAGTTTTTGTGGTTAAATTTATTGTTTTAAGAATACGAGTCAAAAATTTTGTAAACATCGGAGTGACCCAGAGTTGGTAGCATAGGAGCAGGGCCATGACCCAACAAAAAATATTTCCTGTCTTGCTATCAATAATCCTTTCATCAATTGAACCAACCAAGATAGAGAAAAATGCCCGCTTGTATAGCTTCGACTGCGAAATAAGTCTGTAGAGAGATTCTTTAGTATATTGTTAGATATTAGTGAATGCTTCTATCTAGCCGTATTCTAAGCAAAAGGCACGAGTATGCATAGTATTACGTCATTATACAAAAAAATAACTTGCCCCCATGCCACAAAAAATAGTGGACTGGCTACTACACTCTTGCTCGCGAGCCATTTAATTTAAGTTATCGCCTTCCAGGTATCTCAGTATTTGTTGTCTGGGGGCTCCCGAAGTATGCGAACCAAGATGGCGGACATCGGAACGTAACATGGGTAACAGGTTGGGGTTGGGCGATAATTTTTTTCCACTTTTAGTCCTATTATCAGTTCGAAGACTAGCCAAGAGCCTCCCGTAGTATTTATACCTAAAATTATGGCCTAACCCTAACCTAGTACACATATTACATTCCGATGTCCGCCATCTTGGTTCGCATACTTCGGGAGCCCCGTTGTCTGTTTACTTTTTGTGTTTTGTTTTACGTCAGAGTGCCGAAATAAAACGAATGATACCAGTCTCGTATAAGGTTTTAGTCCCATTTTTTCTTACCCCACCCTAAATATTTAACAGATATGCAAGACCATGCTTAAAGAAATGATAAAATACAGTATATAAGTGCTTTTATTATTTAACATAGAAAATATTTCACAAAGAGAATCCAGGATGATTTAAAGAGAGAGAGAGTGGAGGGGGGGGGGGCATTTCTCGAACAAAATAGTGACACATGCAACGCAATTTCAGCCTATAAGAAGGGCGCTACGGGAGTGGGACTCATACTTGAGTAAATTCCTTACTTGACAAATCCTCTATTATGTGACCACAAACAGTCTGGATTAAATAAGAAAATTTTATTAGGCGAAAGGTTTGAAATCCATGGTCTATCTATGAAGTTGATAAAGGCCATAGCAGGATCAGTAACTGTGTTTTAGCAAATAAGATGAAATATCAGGACGGAACATAGAATGTCAATAATTATTTGGGGGGGGGGGGGGGGAGAAAGACAATAACATGGCCAAATTATACTCGGAACAATGCTGTTTACCAATCTGAAGGATGAAGCAGATAAGACAAAAAAAATTAGGGGGAGAGGAAAGTTGACAATAGGGCCAAATGCTGAAAATAGTGTTTTGTTTGTTTTTTCAATCCATAGGAAGAAGGAGATTAAAATAGAGTAAATGACATACTTTATTCTTCCACGAAAATTTAAAAAAAAATCATGTAGTAATTAGCTAAAGGTGTGATAAATTTGGTAGGAATTAGTAACGCCATACTAAAAAAATTTGGCCCATCCAGCTAGCTTTGGGGAGAGGGAATTTATTTTGAAGGTAAAAATTTAACACAATTAAACGAGGATTGATGTAACGAAAAGAATAAAAATTATAAAAACATAGTTTTTATTGCAAAAGTGATCAATTCACACTTTTCGTGCAAATTATTATCATAATTGTAATATAGCAGTATTTACAAGTTAAATTAATCCGATTTATAGGAACAGTAGGTGACACTAAAGAGTTTTTTTTTTGTTAAATTGGTAAAGTTCGACCCCAGAATTTTTTTTTTAATTAATCAAGTCATTGGCGATATCTTCAATAAAAAGGTTTGAAACCATTCAAAGATATTATCAGTGATTTTGATAAAGCAGTTCAGATAATGCTGATAGATAGTACCTTCACAAACTATGACATCCTTACTATATCACAGGGAAAAAATTCAGCATTACAATTCTTCTTATCTATTTGTTATCTTTTATCTAAACCAAAAGATAAAATCACAAAATCAGTTCCATATCATCACTTATTTTTTCATCTGCTTTATTTTTTAATTAGACCGAAAATACCAACAGACATTTGCCTTTTTGCCTAGGACTTGTTTAGAGGAAACATCTTTGTGTTAGATTTCTGCTTTTTATCTTATTAATTAGATGCCATCTACATATGAAAATCAACACATCAGTTACTCCGTATACCGTGTTTCCCAGAAAATAAGCGGGGTATTTTTCCAGTTTTTTATCGAAAAATAACACTGGGGCTTATTGTGGGGGGATGTTTTTTATTTATCAAAAACAAAATTACAAAGCAGAGAAATATGAGATTTCCATATATATATAAAATATGAAAACCGACATCCATTCACTTATAAATAACATATTTGAGTCAAAAATTCGCGCTATGCACTGGAACTTATTTTAAAGGAAGGGCTTATGTTTAAATCATTTTTAAAATTCAAGCTATGTCTTATTTTCGGGGAAACACGGTATTATCAATTATTTTATGAATTCTTCTATCTTCAGAGAAAAACAATGCAAGATTGCCATATCCGTCTTTATCTCCTCTCTCCATATGATTATATATATTTACAGATAAGAATTCTTGAAGAATTTGATAAGATAAGGAATTTAGATCTCAGGAATGGAATGGTCTTGATGCTTCTTCAAGAGTCCGAAATCCATGCTGAAAAGAAAAATTGAATTTCATTAGTTTGCACGCATTTTATTTGTAGGTTTACGGCCAGTGTCGCAAAACAGCAGAGTGGAGATGGGACGTAGCAAGGGAGGAGTTTTGAGGCGGACCCGTCAGATGATACGATCTAACTCGGCAATTAGAAATTTTAATCCCCCCCCTTAAAAAATTCATGGCTACGTCCCTGCCATAGTTACCTATATTGTTCACATTAGCATTTTCATATTTTAAAAAGGATTTTCATATTTATCTTAGGGGAGATAAGAGCCTCGGAGACGTGATATTCATATGGCACACCATATGATGGAGGAAGCTGTAACCGGCCAACAGTAACATGAACCATCCTACGATCTTGAGGAGTCCAGCAATCCTCTTGCACATATTCAACCCTGCATGGAAATCGAACCTGCGAATCCACACAGAGTAATCAGAATTGAGGTGGCGAGCGTATTCCTAACGATTACCACAATGCGCCACACCGTCGAGCCAGATTTAAGTTACAGTATACTGAGCCTTAGTCAGAATAAGGATTGATGTCAGGGCTAGGCAATAATTTTATTCCGATTTTCCTTATTTTAGTTGTATTACAAGTTCAGGGACTGTTTGTGTTAGCCAAGTGAATATACTCCCTGACCATAGGTTTCAGTCCCTTCATACAACTTGATGTATGTAAAGTAGGCGAAGTTACCTCCATATTGCTACACACACTTCTAGAAAACCGAAAAATTCAATGAAAACAAGTCTTCGGGGACTGTTTGTGTTAGCCAAGTGAATATATCCCCTGCCCATAACTTTCAGTCGCTTTGCACAACTTGATGTAAAGTAGGCGAACAAAATTAGTTCCCTCGATATTGCTACACACACTTTTGGAGAACCGAAATATTCAATAATAATAAGTCTCTACCTCTTGACAATATGTTCAAAAATGAACGTAGGCATAATGGTGATTGTCATTGTAGTTGGACTGGAAGACAACACTTCAGCAGTTTCTTTGTCCTGAAAAAAGAATGAACTTTTGAAATACAAAAATTTAACACATTATGTAAGAATGTCTAAAAAGGTCGTGTCCCATCACTAATTAATTAATAACTCGCTAATTATACGACATAATCCATCCAAAATCGATAGGCTCCTGTTCCGAACTATGATGATGCACATGCAAAATTTGGAGCAGATTCAACCTCGCTTTCGTGAGATATCGCGTGTATCTAACAGACAAACAAACAGACAGATTCAACCTCGCTTTCGTGAGATATCGCGTGTATCTAACAGACAAACAAACAGACAAATACCTATCAACATACTTACCGATCTTAAGATCGATAAGTAATAACAGATAGTGAGGCGAAAGTATGTTTTATTCAATAAAAAAAACGTTGAAAATACGTGGATGGGATGTAAATATCCAAATTAAAGAAATACAGATATCCAAAATAAGCCAGGCAAGATCAAATCTTACAAATATTTTTATTTTTTATTAGCTCAACGGCCCCTCAAAAAATCATCTTCGACTCCCTTATGAGGGAACGGCCCATCGTTTGTGAGCCACTGGTATAGCAGACACTAGGGATATACGCGGCGGGGCTAAAAAGAAACGGGACTGATGTCACAGATTGCGCAGCACGATTAACCACAAAATTTGACACAAAATTTAATGTTAATTCTATGCTCAATCGTCATTCTGCAATTGAACCCCCTATCGCCAAAAAACTCAATCAGACCTCGCACAGCATTTTTTTTTCAACAAGAAATTTATCACATTCATTTACCTGAAAAGCAAAAATAATTGCGATATTGTGTCAAAACAGCTGTTAAACAAAGAACACATATTACGCCACACTGCAAAAGTGTTGATTACCGATGGTTAATCGTGTTTCGCAATCTGTGATGTCAGTTCCGTTTCATTTTACCCGCACCTCGTATGCTACTTTAATCAATCACTTAATATATTTTGACATACAGTACCTTCATTCCAACGACGCATTGTCCGTTCACTTCACACAGATTATGATCAATCAAAAGTCCGTTTCTAGCAGCGGAAGAATCTTTAACGAGACCGGTGATCTTTCCTTGCTTGTAGATGAATCCAACATGGCCGCTACTATCTTTCTGCATAGTGACGGTACGAGAGTACGGCCTGCGAGAAAAAGAGGGATTCAATGAAGTGATGGCTTGATAAAGGATTTATTATTAGCTGGGAGATGTGAGAGCTTGTATAAAAGAGACTCATTTTTGAATAAAGTCATGCGCACTCACACAGAGGTAAAATTAAAAGTAATTGACTACTCAATTCATACTCAACACAAATAAATAACATATAGAATCCAACGAGGAAATTTAAGTTACAAATGAGACTTTTATTGTCCTTTTGAAAATTCCCCTAAAATTTATTAACGGTCTTTGTAAATTCATTTGCACAGAGGAACTGAGTATGTTTGAAAAAAGGATTAGGCGTGGTTTCTATCTGAGAAGTGAAACGTGACTGATGATATTTTATGAAACCACACTTATCCTAATTCAATATACATTTTATGTTTGCTCAAAACACAAGCTTTGAACTAAAAATAGAATGAGTAAGCTTGCAAGCTTCCATCGACACTATAAAAGCTTTACTGTACATAGTTTTATTCTTGCAAAAAATACATCAGTAGGTAGCAGCAGGATTGAGACTTTTGAAACATTTACTGTAAGTCAAAAATAAGATATAGACAACTGAAAATAAGTTTTAGATGTAGTAAATTGAATTTTTATGCGAAGATGGCATTTAATGCCTAGTGATTTATTGAACATTTCCCAGGCACCACACTTTATTTTTTTCGACAGGAATGCTTTTCTCACACAACGCTGGGTTTAGCCTTGTCCTTATTTTCTAGTTAAAAGCACTGGAGCGTGACTGCCAGAATCTCAAACCTATAGTTAGAAGGCACGAAATTATTAACTATAACCTTCCATTACCGTTCAATTGCAAATTCCAATCATTTGTATTTCAAGAAATCATTGGAGCATGACTCAAAGTATTTCCAGGTATCAAGAAAATTCGGTAAGTCCGAAGTAAGTGGACTAAGATGGCAGACACCGGAACGTAATATGTGTTCCAGAATAGGCCATAAATTTATTCCAATTTTTCTTATTTTAGTTCTATTACGAGTTCGGGGACTAGCCAAGTGACTTCCGTAGTATTTGTGCCGAAATTTTGGCCTAACCTTTACCTGGTACACATACTGCGTTCCGTTGTCTGCCATCTTGGTTCACATACTTTGGGAGTACCAAACATTCAATGTAATAAAATAGGTGGGATGCCATAGTGGTTAAAGTATTAGGCCAGACATTGGCATTGCAGGTTACAGACTTACATGCTTACTTGGAGTGTGAAAAATTGGGTTAGGGCAGGGGTGTGCAACAGGCGGGCTAGATTTCAAATTCTGCCGTTAAACAGTTCATTGAACAAACGAATAAAATCACTTACCTGTCACGGATGGCAAATTCAACTTTCTTTGCATCAGCTTTCTTCAGAAGACTCATGACTTTATCGGTGCTGTACCCAGCCAGTGTCTCGTTGTTGATTTGCAAAATCTGATCCCCGAAACGAAGACCAGCCATTGCGCATGGTGATCCAGAGTTCACAAACGCAACAAAGATGCCCTGTAGGTTAAAATAAAGGAATAAAAAACAACTCCGTAGTTGAAATATGCTTTTCTGAAGAATTCTGGCATCGGTCAAACAAAATGTTACAGAAATACATTTGTGTTAATGTGCAGCAAAACTCTTGAAATAAATTGAATAGGAAGATATATTAATATTTAGGTTGAATATACAGGGTGTCCATGAGGTCCAACATTTTCAACTTTATTATGAAGTCAGTTCTAACTACGTCTTAACCAGGTTTGTCCTTTTTAATCAGTAAATGTTCAAGTAATTTTACTTCATTTGATACAAATATGAAGGCCAAAACAATATAAGGTATAATTAAATTCCCTTGCAATTTAAAAAAAAATTGAGACTTTATGGACACTCTAAATCAGGGTGGTCCAAACCCAGGCCCGCGGGCCACATGTGGCCCGCCGCTTCATTATCTGCGGCCCGAGTCGCATTCGGGGAGAAATCAAAAAGATCGCATTTCATGTTGTTTCGTAATAAAATTTAGCAAAAAATCTTTTGACATATTGTTGCATCACTAATATCACTGAATTGACTAGTGTTATGGCTTGCTGAGGCAACTAGCGAAGTTAAACAAGCGAAGAACAACAACATAATAACAAAGCGATCCCCATAATCCACTACATGTCCAAAAACGAAAATTACTCATCAACAATGTTTTATTGCTGAAAAGACAAACTAAATTATAACGCAACAACCAACCAACCTTGCTAACGGCCTTGATTCTGATTCCCATCTTTCCTTTGCCATCTTTGCAAACAGTCATTTGACGGATTCCTCCTTTTACTTCAGAGCGTAAAATTCCGAGATTATTCTGTCCGCTCACTGGCGCCACCAAACCTGCAAAACAAGGAAGATTGTTCAAATATATAGACATGACGTTGATAGCTAATATTGCCACCGCAATGCAAGCGAAATTCAAGCCATATGTTTAAAGAACTGTACGAAATTTCATGGTGTAAAAAGTTGTTTCAGATGCATGGACTTGATGGTGGAGGAAGCCGTAACCAACCCCACAGCAGTGAGGAGTCTAGCAATCCTCTTGCACATAAATATCCCGTGTGGGATTCGAACATGCAAAAGCGTCCATGCAGGGTAATCAGATCAAGTCTGTTCCTGACACTTAGACTTAGCACTTTGCGCCAAACTCTAATAATATTTATTCTATTCATTCTAGGGATGAAGACCATTGCCAAATAATAGAGTTCGAATCGCAAATTATTCAAATCGTTTTTTCTCTAATTTAGTCTGATTGTGTGGAAATATAAAGCACAAGCAACGGGAACAGTCCCTGGCAAACAATGCCACTTCGTGCAAAAACGACTCTAACTCGATATACATCGCCTTACCTGGTACTTGAGATGCTTGTGGCACAGCAACAGCCTGTGACTGAGGAGGAATGACAGCAAGTTGGGTTTGGACTTCACTGGAATTCAAATTCAATCCCATGTATTCATCCAATGAAGGGTAGAGACTTGAGTAGGATCCGTGCCCTGCTGGCATACCTGTGAAAATAAATTATAGAATTGGTTATATGAGTAGCGGTGGAACTATCCCATAATTTACCATTTTAAGATAGGATAGGATTTACATATTTATCCCAGGCAGAGGAAAGGAGATAAGACGGCTTAATCATATGGCAAACCACGGCCTCTCGTTCGGTTACCAGTCCATGTCGGGTATGGGATTAGTTAATCAGGTATTTGTCTCAGATGCAGAGACTTGATGGTGACATGAACCTGCCTATGGCAACGAGAGTCCAGCAATTCAAAATTTCTAGACATACAAAAAAATGATTGGTTGGTATAAAATAAAAGATTCAGTTTCAAACTAGCTCTCAATGTAAGAAATGTTGCTGGCAGTTATTAACCAAATAAATTGTAATTTGAAAACATAATTTAAGAGTTGGGGTGGAAAAATTGAATAATTTACTATCTTGGGATAACACATTATTATTCAAACAGGCCATATTCAACAGAGTAAACAGGATACTTCACTAAGGTGTTTGTTCAATGTTCAATTTTGGATCTAGTTTTGGAAATTGAATGAAGACGGAAGCTTGATGGTCATTCATGAAAAATTTTAAAAATTTAATTCTAAATTATTCAAAAGGCTAAATTATTCAGTGTTGGCTATTTGTGCTTACAATTTCCATGTTCATTCAGAGAGAAAAAAAGCTTTCCAATGGGAATAAAACCTGCCTCTCTCATTTGGTAAATAGCAATGCACTTATGCACCAATCCTTCTATTAACCAACTAAATAATTTATTTTCAAAATCAATGCACCGCCTTAAATAAATGATATGTGCCTATAAGTTGGCTCATAGATAATTACTTCTGAGTGAGTGCCCGTAACTTTGCTCAGAATATGAGTCTCCTTCACTTCTGAGTGAGTGCCCCTAACTTTGCTCAGATATGAGTCTCCTTTACTTCTGAGTGAGTGCCCGTAACTTTGCTCAGAGATGAGTCTCCTTTACTTCTGAGTGAGTGCTCATAACTTTGCTCAGAGATGAGTCTCCTTTACTTCTGAGTAAATGCTCATAACTTTGCTCAGAGATGAGTCTCCTTTACTTCTGAGTAAATGCTCACAACTTTGCTCAGAGATGAGTCTCCTTTATATATGAGTGAGTGCCCGTAACTTCACTTAAAATGAGTTCCCTTTACTTTTGAGTGGGTGTGTGTAACTTTGCTCAGAGATGAGTCTCATTTACTACTGAGTGATTGACCTTAACTTTGCTCAGAGATAATTTGTTGTCAAACAAACCTGCTTGCTGAGGTGGGATTCCTGCCGCGGCCATTTCTTGTTGTTGCATATTCAATGCCAGCATGTGATCATCTCTATGTTGAGACTGCGCCTGAATAGAAGAAACATTAAAATTATTTTTCTGATAAAATTTGATTAATTCAAATTAAAAAACTTTCTCATAACCATTTTTCAGATCTAATTGACCTGAACTACTTCAAGTCTTGTGCAAAGCGGTATTCGCTGAAGCGTAACACACCACCATAAATCTATATAATTTTAGAAGTTCTTTGGAATTTCAGCAGTTGGCATAACATTGCTCAGAGATGAGTCTACTTTTGAGTGGGTGTGCGTGGAATTGATACGAGTCACTGGCGCATCAGAGGTCTATCTATATTAATTTGTCACATGTCAGTTATTGGTTGACATCTCAAAGAAAAGCAAATATATGACAGACAATACCACTGTATCACTAATTCACCAAAACTTCATGCAAGAAAACAATAGGGCCATAGCCATCGATATGAACCCAAAAATAAAGGCATCAGAGAAATATCGCCGGATGAGAACAGAAGGGGCCTAAGTCACATTTATGGAAAATTGACTTTTTTCAATATTTTGGGGTTTTAAGCCATGCTATACAAGGTGGTGGTCTTGAAATTATGAATTTCTCAATAATAAAAATTTTAGCTGGACTTAGGACTAAAATATTTAAGAACAGAATGGGCCTAAGTCCAACTAAAATTTTTATTATTGAGAAATTCAGGATTTCAAGACCACCACCTTGTAGAGAATGGCTCAAAACCCCAAAATATTGAAAAAAGATAGTCCCTAAGTTCCAATATGATGGGCATGAACATCAGAAATGAAATGTCCGAAACTTACATCCCTAAAAATTTCTCCAGTGCCACTTAGGCCTAAGTCACCTTGTTTTACCTTGCATCCCATACAAAAAAATTCAGAAGTTGTTGAAACCAGAATGGGCCTAAATCCTTTATGGGGGTAAAAAAGCAGAAAGGAATTGAAGCTGAAGTACCAAAAAATATTGATTACAAAGATATTCACATCCACATTAAAATAACCAGAGCTCAGGACTTTACTAAGTGTGAATATCTAGAAATTCGAAAATAAAAAAATTCCAAATTGTTTTTTGCGTTTTTCTCAAAACTCAAAATTGTGACTTAGGCCTGTTCTGTTCTCATCCGGCGATATATATATATTTGTTTAAATAATAATTGTAATCCATTTCAATGATGCAAAAAAAAGTTTATTAATGCATTGTGCATTGTTTTGATTGATCCTCTATTTTTATAGCATGGGAAATTAATTGTTTTGGATAATCATCACATGTCAATGACTTTTAATAGTACCTACATTTTCAAAGAAAACTTATACGTGAATATCCAAAATTCTCAAATCAATAACTGACTATGTAAATGTATTTGACTATTTGAATGTCTAGAACAATAGCAACCTAACAAGGAAGTGCTAAGGCTGCCTAGTAAATATTTACTTTAGTTATAAAGTGAAAGAAAAGAAAAAAGTTAAATAAAACGTTGCTTTTAAGTAAGCCATGGTAACCAATGCTTTCCATGTACATCAGAGTAATAAAATTAAAAACAAGGCTGAATTAGAAAAATCCTAATCTTGCCAGGCACATTAAAATCGCTACTTATATGATTGTCCACCGATAAAGGAATAAAACGACTAGTGAATGTAAGACGTGTTTTGCACACCGTGAGCTATAATTGCACTCCAGGAATTTCTGATTACATGCCCAATTTCTCGTTCAAAAAGGCCATGAAATCCAGACTGGACTATGACATCACAATATCGTCATAGAGCTTGCCAAAGTATACCTATGATCGCCCGAAATGGCATTTGCGTCGATGATAAAGAACTCACTAACGGCAGCGACCTCCCTCATTTAGGGATGGTTGCAACGAAAAAAATAACTTGATCGATTGGGTGGTCGTCTGCGCATCTTGGATGACAGTTCTTTTAGTTTGAAGGGCGTTACTACGTCACTGTGAAGTCATAGTGGAGTACTTTTTGGATGACGCAGTCAGGTGGGGGTTAGGATTGACATATGCGAAAATTGTTATGCTACGCCCTCTAGAAGTATTGCAGGTACGAAATGCGTGATGAAGGATAGACAGTTCAAGAAACAAACAACCCCGAAACAAATCTTAATAAAAAAAGCTTAATTAATGAAAAATTATTAAAATTCTTACCCTAATGGCTTGGTCCACTTTCATATCTTCAAGTGAGGGATAGAGAGACATTTTGTTTTCGCTTCTTTATTCAGAAAAAATATGTAAAAATTATAAATAGTATTTTCTGTGAATAGAAATAAAATTGATTAAATGAAGCATTTATATAGATATCGCAGAGCACCATTTTTTCTCACATAATTTCGTCAAGAGTTTTTTCCCTGATAATTGGCGCCGCACGGGCAAAGTGTCGTATTACGTCGTCATACAAAAAAAATTTGGCAGTTCAGTTTGGATAGATTATATGAAAAAAATTAAAATTCAACCAGCGAAAACAAACCACAGAACTACATGAGGTACAAATAACCACTAGCAGCAAATTATCTATAATCACAGAATCATGAAAAAAAAAATGAAGAAATTCTTTGGCAGCAACCTATTGCCAGACTGCTGTATTCGCTGATACAAAACATACGGTACGGTATTGTCCCCCATATAGCAATGGCCAACTTAGCATTAATAAAACGGAAGGATGTACTGATGGGTACCGTAATAATACTCTGAAATTTCCCGTACCATACCATACAACCATATGCCTGTATGCAGATGTGATTAAGAATGCAAATTAAATGTTAAATGAAAATATGGCCGTATGAAATTCTCTTGCGGCTTATCTTAACTCCGTAAGTCCTATGACAGTATTCCTACTGTACCACTATCTGACTGTGTATTTCAATGGAGTATTTAGTACTAGTAGGTATTGAAACGAATGGCAACTCTCTGAAGTCTGGAATTGCTAACTACAGAACTAGCAGACTAGAGTAAAAAGCTATTCCAACTGCTACGAACGAACTAAAATTGGCAACTCAACGAGAAGCCATTGCTTGTCATATTTCCTATTCAACTATATGCCATTTCATTATCTTTGTTCCCCCAAAAATGAATTGATAAAACCCAAATAACATGGCATATAAAACGCAACAGAAGCCGCGACACAAAATCTTTAAAATGCGTTCATTCGAGATTTTTGTTTCTTTTCTGTCTCGTATGACGTCATGTTCTCGTGACCAGGCGTAACGAGAGCACGTGATTTTTTTTCACGGGACAATGTACGTCACTCGCTATGATTTGTTCCTGGTTGCCCGTGTTAATCAGCGAGTAGGCCGGTTTGCTTTTTCTTGACGAGTGGTTCTCAAATGGTGGAGCGTCCCACACACAGAGGGCACGTAGGCAATTTTTTTTAGAGGGCGCAAAACTTATTTAAAAATACCCAAATTTGATTTGATCTTGCCTACTTTATTTTGGATATTTACTTTCCACCCAAGTATTTTCAATGTTTTTTTTGTTAATATGCCCGTCCTCCAGGGGCATATTGTCCGTTTGTTGTTGTTTTGTGTTTTGTTTAAACCAGAGTGACCAAATAAAATTGATTGATTTTGAATAAAACATACTTTCGCCTTACTATCTGGTATTTGTATCTGAGGTGGGGTGCGAGACTTGACAAATTCTAAAATTGAAGCGCAAAAAGTTTGAGAACCACTTGTCTTGATGAAGATTTCATACCCCGAGTTCGACAAAGACGGCACTGTTTTTGCTCCACTGCTCATATTCTGATCTGTTTGCCTTGCTTCTGATTTCATTTGTATGAGACAAATAGGCTATTTATTCGGGATCCGTGGTTCAGCCGGTTCGCATCCGTTCTATAGAACCGTCTCACTGAATTTAAGGAGATCAGCGAACCGGTTAGCATTACTGGTTTATTTGCTAAAAAATGTGACTTTTTGTAACGGAACCGGCTGAAAAATATGACTTTTGTGATGGAACCGGCTGACGAAAAATTTGAATCCCACTACTGCTTGGGATCGATTAGAAAGTGGGCCAATAACCTATTCAGCCATCCAAACCTGACTTAAAATAACGAAATCAATCAAAATGGATGATTAAATTAGTCGCGGAGCAGTGACATGATAGTATCGTAAAGCCCATACGACGGATCTAACTATCATGTGTCGGACATGGCCATGGGACAGATAACCCGTAAGTTGTTCCAGATGTCCTTATATACTAATCGAAACACGTTCAAATACTTATGTCGTGTATAAACTATCGCAAAAATGAAATACATAAAAATAAATAACTAGAAAAAAAAAAACATAAATAAACTATTATATAGCACCGAGCAAAAGTTGTTTTCAATATATAGAATGTCCTTTTTTTTTAAATCACAAAGGGAACTTATCGATACCATATATGATCTTCACAGATGTATTAATTAAATGAAGTAAAAATACTCAAACAATTGCTGATTAAAAAACAACATGCCTGGGTAAAATATATATATTGAGAACTGACTCCAGAACAAAATTGAAATTGTAAAGGGACTTCATTGACACCCGTATAACATTTTCGCCTTATTCAAAAAAACCTCAGTTGAACCTGCTCACAACTAATACGGATTATTCCAACCATGTGTCACAGTTTAAGTTTTGTGTGTAAATGAGTCGGAAGTTTCAAGATTCCAGTTGGTTGTTTATTGTACGGCAACTATACACTTAAAACAGCAATAATGACAGCAAACACAACTCAAAATCACTCGACGTCCAGCCTTCCCCGACGAGAAGAGATCTAAAACTATTTGATCTCACACTTCGTGGGTTTTCGCAGTCCAGGCCCGTTTAAAACCCCGGGCCTGGGAAATATCATACAGATAAATATAAGAAGATATTAACACGGACATTGAAATCGACTACACATGCTTAATATAAACGCACAAAACCTTCAGAGCAACCCGTGATTTTTAACGGTATCATGCCATAATCAGGGCTTAGACGATCCCATACTTAATTCGTAATCATTTGAACCGAAACGGTTTGAATACTGTATTTCCGACGACCAACGGTTACTGGGAAACTTTTGTGTCCGATCTGCCGTTATGACCATGAATTGTCGTTCCGATACTGCGAATTTTAATTATGTTCCCATTATATCTTTTTAAAGTAGTTCGAACAAGTAAGCCCATGTTACTGTGATCGTCTGAGCAATATTATTTAAGGCATTACTAAGGTATTAATAAAGGCTGTTAAGTCGGAGAGAATGCACAATCATGGGGGTAGGCCTCCCACCAAAACAAATATTTCAACATATTTATTTTATTTAAGCGATTTGGCGATATATATTTGTGGTTATACACACGTTCGTACGTATTTTTTAACCCTGTTTTGCTCTATTTGTGAGCGTCTCAGTCAGGGCTGGTTTCAAGCCGATTTTATCAAATTGGGCCCTGCACTTTGACCCCGTGCTGGTGAGGGTCTTTTTCTGTATCATGAAAATACTGCTGAAAACGTAAAATTGAAAGCGAAATATCCTTTCTCATAATATTAATTTATGGTGCATGGTAAATTTAATAAATTTTCGTTATGTCACCATTAATAATTAAATTCTTCTGTTCTGCTTTATTCCAGAAATTCAGATTAATATTTTTTGTACTGTTTTCTAATAAAGTTAAATACTTAAGGGCTGCGGTCTTATAAGAAACAGTTTTTCAATGCTTTCCATAGAAAGCGAGATTTCTAAAGCTATTGCCTTTGATAATATTTAAAATGATTTTGCTGATAAAAAGGCTAGAAAAGTCCTTTTCTGGAAGAGTATAATGTAATTGGCTATTTTGCCTTTCTTGATGTTAAAACTAAAACAATAAAAGCATTCACATTACTATAAATTTGTTTTATAGCATAAATTAAATGTCTATTTTTGGTTTGTATGTATGTTTTTTTTATGAAATATGAACATCCATGAATTTTACTATAAAGGGTGGAGGTCCCGCCATCAGATTTTTAATTGCGCCCGTCGTCTCAGTTACATACAGTTCGTGGTTTTTGGAACGCTATCAACTCTTGCTCCAAATAAACCATCCATAAAGTGGACGGAATTGTGCGCTCGTGTAACTTCGACAGTGCATTAAGTTTATGGACAGCTCCTCCATGCTTGTATCTGGCGTTGTTCCGAGCAAAAGGCGCGAGTAAGCGTCATCTTCAAAAAATAATTTTTTTTGGCTTTTGTAATCAATATTTGGAATTCTAAAAAAACTCTTCGGACACTAGGTCGGAGGCGTAATCAGAAATTTTCTGAGATGAAACGTGTTTTTTCAAGAGTCTCTATACTCTTGACGGTCAAATGAGCGTTTCATGCTACGAAAATTGCTGTAATACATAAAAATGCTTTTTTTTATATTTTAAAGTGGACGGGGGGTCCGATCCCCACCCAGGGGGGACGTTTCTGCTCTAGATCTGCGTTACCCAAAATTCCATCTTACAATGAGCAACAAACGTTAAATTTACCCAATTTTTTACCTAACATTAAAAAACACTGCCTGCGTCGAAAAAGTGAAATATTGAGCCAATGAAAATCATCTATTGTGAGATCAAATTCAAGCGCTCTCTTTTAGCTCATCAACTCTAAAGCGTGTGTCTGCCTACTGTGGCCTGTGGCTACTCTCGTAGTTCGAGATTACGGCCGTCGGCCGAATATAAAAAACAGGCAAAAACACAATATATAAATCGATCGAAATTGCGCAGACGAGACATCGAATCAAAGCCAATTCACAGTCAGACGCTCGAGCAATCTATTGATATATCGAACAGCTATTCATCGCAGCCCGGTTAGCTCAGTCGGTAGAGCGTTGGACTTTTAATCCAACGGTCAAGGGTTCAAGTCCCTTATCGGGCGCTGTCTTTTTCATCAACAGTTATATTTATTTAACTCTCAGTTTTAAAAATTTTCGTAATATGTCAAATCACGCGACTGAGCATTGAACATTAATTTAAGGTAAAATGGTAGAATTAGATTTTAAGTCTTTTTCTTCGAATTTCCGGAATAAAAGACAATGAAAACCATTGCACATATCGCAGGCCAAACCATTTTGCAGCTAACATTCTTGACTTGAGTAACGGTGATGATGCGCAACATTTGTGTCCTTATACTGAGGCACAGCTTGCTTGATTTCTATAGTGTCTTCTATCTGCATGGTTTAAGAACATACAAGTCTTAAGGAAGTACATTTCCCTGTGTTTATGTATGGGTATTATGCGTTTTCTCATTTTAAATTGGGTTAAAAGTATCACCCGATTCTGAATCGCGTTCACTCCTTTGTGTGCTAATTTTATTTTTTGGATGGATAGGGGCGAGCACGTACTACGTTTTTTAACTTCGCCTCGCCTACGTTTTTTACCTTCGCCTCCCAGGTATTCCTAAATTATGTTCGTCTGTTTACTTTTTATGTTGTTTATGTCAGAGAACCGAAATAAGATGATTGATTGACTGATTTATCTATTATCACAATTAGAGTTTGAGTTCTCAGTTATATTTTATGTCTCAAAGTGAGATAGTCCTTGTAATAAGTTTATGCTTTAAAATCCTCATTTGGTCTTTTGGCAACTTTTCGAATTTCCACCCTGTGTGGTGTCATTTTTTCGTACCATGGTGGAATTCAAAATAAATTATTTCTCAATAGCTTAGCAGCAGCACAGGTCTAGCCTACTGTCACCGTTGCCTTGTATCATAACTTATTTGAGCTCTGCTGTAATAGTCGAACGAGTACAGTAGCATGCTTGAAATTGGCAAAACAATGCGAGTTATTATAAGTTGGAGTGTACTTGTTGCAGTGATTAGATGATTTCCTCAGGCCAGACGGACAGATTATTTATTTTGAATGCTGCAATTGTTGAATGACACTTGTGCGTTATTATTAGGAATAAAAATAGGAATTTCAGTTATTCCTCCAAATTAAAATCATTTTATTGAAACATTTTACAGTAAAAAATTTTGCCTATTTTGCGCCCTTATTCAAACGGTGCCACGACACGAGCCAGGCTGTCATACCCTAGACTAGATTAGAGCTAAGATCTGAAACCCGACCCGACCCGAAATGTCAATCATTATGGTCGGGTCGGGTCGGGCTACTCTATCGCTGATTTTTGGACACGTAGTGGACATAACGATCGTTTCAATATTATGTTGTTGTTGTTCTTGTTCTTGTTGTTCTTTGACACGTTTTTAAAAAGTCGCTTTTCTCTTCGAATACTGGACCAATTGCTTTGAAATTTTCAGTGGTTGAAGATTAATTTTTTCGCTAGAAGGCTATTACTTTTGTTTATTCTTAAATTTCATATGAATCCTATGAGATATGATATTTCATACAAAATTTCGCGGTATTTATTTTTACTCATGGGAACACTGTTTTACACTTATTTCAAGCGGTTTCGCGATCGATTGTCTTGCTCAGTACTACAGCTACTGTAGGTCGGTACTGGTAAGTTGCCATACCGGTGCCGTAACGCAGTGAAATTGACTTATTCCTTCCGCGGTATTACTAATGCTGCAATGCAAGTTTTATAGCCTATCGTATGCGGAACGGAATATCAGATCTACAGGTTCGGTACCGGTACTGGTAGCTCAGTACGTAAGTACGATACTGGTACTGGTGCCGGTGTCTTACCACAATGAAATTACCGTAACTTAATCTTTCTAGGTCCTACCAGTGCAGTAATGCAAGCGTTGTAGCACTTGTAGCCTACTATATTTGTTTATTTTGATGAGAGTCTACTGGAAACAACATAAAATTTGAAAGGGAAGAATTGTTCTGTGATCAATTATCTGTCCTAAAGTGTAAATAACATAAAATTTGCAAGGGAACAACTGTTCTGTGATCAATTACCGTATATGGCCTACAGTGTACAGGTAAGATGCTGGCTGACTGCTAACCGGTACTGGTAGCTCAGTACGTAAGTACGATACTGGTACTGGTGCCGGTACCGGTGTCTTACCACAATGAAATTACCGTAACTTATTCTTTCACGGTCCTACCAGTGCAGTAATGCAAGCGTTGTAGCACTTGTAGCCTACTATATTTGTTTATTTTGATGAGAGTCTACTGGAAACAACATAAAATTTGAAAGGGAAGAATTGTTCTGTGATCAATTATCTGTCCTAAAGTGTAAACAACATAAAATTTGCAAGGGAACAACTGTTCTGTGATCAATTACCGTATATGGCCTACAGTGTACAGGTAAGATGCTGACTGACTGCTAACTCAGTACCGCTTGACACGTTTTTAAAAAGTCGCTTTTCTCTTCGAATACTGGACCAATTGCTTTGAAATTTTTAGTGGTTAAAGATAAAAATTTTCTCCAGAAGGCTATTACTTCTTTTTTCGCTATGACGTCATCAAAATTATGTGACTCTACGTGTCCATATATTTGAGCATAGCTCTCTTGTTTTTAAATGAGGCGTTTCGGCCGAGTTTTGGCCACGAGAGACCGTGGTCTGCAAAAAAAAAAACAGAAGTTGCCTCGTCAACAGAACACATATTGTACTAAACTTCTGCAATGACAATTCAAAATAAAATATGAAATTTCTGGTTTGATTTGGGCTCGGGCCTGCGAATCCAATTAATTAGTCGGGGGTCGGGTCGGGTTTAACGGAAATTATTGGACCCGATCTTACCTCTAGACTAGATACGCCTCTGTATTGGCTATATTTACTGATCTTGCGTGCTTTAATTAATTATTTTCTGCAGAGATGTTCAGACCTTACCATTTTACAAAAATAGTTCAAAGTTTAGCAAGACCACAAGCACTCATGTCGTCATCATATTGTTGCACTTTTGAAGATGTGACGTCAGCTATGACGCGAATACGTCCTTACGTAGACATGATGACATCGTCCACATTAAACAAAATGTCAGGACATAGAATATTTCTAAAAACGGAAAATTTTCAGGTAGGTGTTTATGAATTTTTGCTTGGTACTTTCCAGTTACTGCCGCAATCCTCAACTTGTTCTAATCTAGTTCATTATTAGACGATGAGACAAAAAAACAAGAGATCGATGTTCAAATATACGGACACGGGGTCCCAACCGAACGGAAAATTTAACGACTCACAGAAACGCGAAAGCGCTACAAGTTGCGCAATTTTTGATGACGCAATCGCATACAAAATATGTATAAAACAAATCCTATAGAGCCATATAGAGTTAAAATTGTACTTTTTAGACATATACTTCTTTTTTCAATTATGTTTGCCCTTGCTATTATCAACTATCGCAGTGTCTTCATTTTTTCGTGACCCCCAGAAACTGAAATAAAAATAAAGTAAAATTTAATAACAGATTGAAACAAAAAATCAGGTGTGGGGCAATAAAACGGTACTAAATTTTGCGCAGATCGAGGTTGCAGTCCATCGCCTAAAAATGTATTACTAATGATATGGTCATTATTGCTCAAGAGGTTTTCAACTTAGAACCCACATTCTAACATTTGGAGCAAATTTCATACGCAAGACAATATATCACCTGATCACTATGTACCATGTGGCATCTTTTGGCATGGGTTTCGAAGCTGTACCTGTATCGATTTTAAGTAGTGACTTATATCAATTTTTAAGTTTATCTGTTAGAACCAGTCGAATTCCACCTAACTTGTATTCGCGTTAGCGCTCTTAAATAAATATTACATAACTTGCCTTGTTCGCTTTTCGCTTGATTAACGAGCAAATATTTGTTACATCTCACAATCAGATAGCCTTTTTTCTGTCTGTTGTCAGTGCAAGGAGTCTATTATTGAATATTACGACCCTGTAAGTATTATCCGATCTTGGATTAAATTGAGGTTTTTTGATATGGCTTTAAATTGCTTACACTTCCATTGTCTTCTAAATTTATTTTTGCTATCAAGGGACTTTGATTTCACGATATTATCCGAATATATATTTTAACTCGAAATTACACTCCTTGCACCACCAAGATTAACGGCGTCACAGTTTGTTAGCTTTCGCGTCCTGTATTATATTTCAACAGAAAACAGGGTCATTCAAGATTCGAGGCGCAACAAATGCAGTGCTCAAAATCAAACAAGATTTACCAGACGTGAGCTGTGTGGTGTGTGACAGCAGTGGGAACCATGGACAAGCTCTCGCCCGAGCTGCTCAGTCGTCGGACCTCAAATGCTATGTGGTGATGCCAGAAAACTCGCCGAAATGCAAAATTGACGCCGTGAAAGGGTAAGGGTGGCACTTTTTTCACATTTTCAAAAGAAAGCGGCTCCAATATGCAGTAAATAAGGTCCCGAGTAGTGATGGGCACTTCGAATCGAATATTCGAACCGAATCGAACAGTAAATAATTCAAATGAATTCAGAAAAAGTTTCGAATCGTCGCCATCTTTCATTTTTGGGCCGTCGGAGGCCCGGGTATATTTCTCAGTTATTTTTATTGAAGTCATATTTTATGCAATTCTGTGGTTACTCAGTGAACAGACTGAATGGTGAATTCCATGTTTCCGGTAACTTTTGTGTCTGGAGGACCTATTAAAGTGAAAAAAATCACATACAAATGGATATGTTCCGAGTATTCGAGATTATATTCAAAATAAAAGAATCGATTCTGAAATCATCAGGTATTCGAAAATGCCCACCCTAGTCCGGAGATCCGCCTCATCTGAGAGAGTGAGAATACTGATAGAAAAGTTACAATTGGCAACTGGCGCACTAAGAGCTATATTTTCGCCTCCGAGATGTCATGAGATAGCGAGAGACTTGAACAATTCAAGTTAGCACTGCCAGGACACCAGCTGACGATAGCTTACTCAGATTGAAACTCTGATATGACGGACCAACATTCCTCTAACATGAAACGTGGCAATATGTCTCATTTTAGCATCATTATGTCAAGTTTATAACGTAACGCAGGGTGGTCCAAACCCAGGCCCGCGGGCCACATGTATCCCGCTGCTTCATTATCTGTGGCCCGCTCACATTCGGAGAGTAATCGATAAATCGAATTTCGTGTTGTTTAGTAATCAAATTTATCAGAAAAATCTTTTGACATATTGTTTCATCACTAATGTCACTGGATTGACTAGTGTTATGGCTGGCTGAGGCAAATAGCGAAGTTGAATGATGTGCTTGGCAGTCTATATTATTATCTGGCTTTCTATCTTTTTGGTCGGTAGTAAATGCTAACAATAAAGGCATCGCCCGTGGAGCCGACAACCTTGGACCACCATGACGTAACGTATTACCGTTTTTTACGGATGATACGCCCTATCTTCAAATCCTTCCATTTCTCTAAAAACCCACCTAATGTAAGAGTCAGGTAGTGCTTTATTGCATACACTCGATTGACTCGAAACCAGTACCGGTTGCGTCTTAGCCTGGTGCCCCTTATGTATAAATAAAAACCAGCGTAAAATGAGGTATGTACATATGGCGTCGCCAATTTGATGATATCTACACTTGCAGCTGCCACCCTCCCCAGTTATTCAACTGTTAAACTGATAAGAAGCCGTGTTTCACATATGATCAAGCCTTATTATCGACTTTCCTCTTCCCATAATTTTTTTATCGTTTTTTTTTTCGCCACATGGCAAAATATTTGACGATAATTTTTGTTTTATTTAGGTATGGGGCCAACGTCGTTCTCTGCGAAGCTTCAGAAGAAGCTCGAAAAAGCGGCGCCGATGACGTCATCAAACAACATGGCGGCGTATACGTCAGTGCTAGTCAAAATTCTGACGTCATTAAGGGCCAGGGCACGTTGGGCCTTGAAATTATGGAACAAAATCCAGAATGTGAGGTCATAGTGGCTGCCGTCGGTGGGGGAGGAATGATATCTGGCATCGCTACTGCAGTGAAGGGCGTTAATTCAAGCGTGAAGGTCATCGCCGCTGAACCGGAACGTGCAAACGATTGTTATATTTCTAAAAAAACGGGAGTTTTAACCCCAAACCCCACGTTTCCGGATACAGTTGCCGACGCTGTGAAAGTTAGTGTAGGTAAAAACACTTGGCCAATGATTCGTGACCTCATTGATGACGTCATAACCGTTTCTGAAGACGAAATAAAACACGCCACACTGCTTGTCTGGGAAAGATGCAAATTGGTTATTGAACCGACAGCGGGGGTGGCTGTGGCCGCTGTTCTTTCTGAAAATTTCAACAAAAGTTTGTCGAAATTTTTCCCAAACTCAAAACCTAAGAATGTAGCAGTAGTTCTATGCGGAGGAAATGTAGATTTCGCTATTTTACCGGAATTATTAAACTGCTCGTCTTAGGATTATAATTAGTTTAGGAATATGATTCTGACCTAAACAGCAAAAAGTAGGCGCCGTTCCGACTATGTGGCGCAATTGACGTAACTTTTTACGTTAAACTGACGTCATAAGTGTAAAAATAAGGTTATACTGCTTGAAAATTCCATGACGCGCGACCCAATCTTCCTTCCAACATAGGCTTCCTAATTCAGTGCAAATAATTATTTATTTTTATTTTCAAAGTAATTGTGCGATAATTTTTAGGTTTGCTTGTATCCCGAGACCTCAACTATAGGTGGAAGGATACTAATAAATAAAACACTTTTCTCTTATTGACGTTTTTTCCTTTTCTCAAAACAACAAAGAAACTAGATTATCAAATTGCTTTATTTCTCTGAATAATATTAATAAAAATAATGAAAAATAGGAAAACCTCACAAAATATAAAAAAGACTGAATTATTATTTGCTTGATTAGTCGAGCGCTAGATAGTTTACAAGAAGCTCAGTGGGTGCCCATATAAAATAAAAAACGTCGAAAAAAATGCTTAGAATGTTGTAATAAGTTGTGTAGCGTAGGATATCAATCAGAATACAAATCTTTACGAATATAAGTCCATCATCCTCAGTTAGCGCGAGAATCGGATAAGAGCTGATTCGATAAAAACATTCCTGGAATATCAGAACCTAGCCAGGGGAACTGTCCTCCCTTTTTAAATGTGAGCATTCTTCTGTATCATTCACATGCTTTTTAGACTCTCAGGATACTTGAAAACTATGTGTTCGGGCTAGCTATTCCCCGCTACCTGCTCCGGTCTAGCTTGGGAAATAGAAATTCAGAACCCAGTTTCAAATTTCTTTTACGACCATTGAAAGTCCAATACATGACTCCGAAGAGTTTGAAAATAAGTCCGCTCTTAGAGAAAAACATGACAAACAAAGCCCATTTAGTACATGGTGACCCAAAAAAAAAACAGAAGCCAGGTCATTTGGAACATATTCTAGTGAAGTCGTTCTCAAACGATGGGGCGCGCCTCACAAGGGTAGCATATACAATTTTTTAAGGGGGCGTAAAGCTAATTAAAAATATTTGTTGAATTTGATATTGCTCGCCCTATTTTGGATATCTACGCTTCATCCATACGTATTTTCAACGTGTTTTTTGAATAAAACATACTTTCGCCTTACTATCTGTTATTTGTAGCTTATTGTTAGCTAGTTATTTTTGAGAGAGCTAACTCAAACTTTTATTTTTACTTTTATTTTTGACTGCTGTAAAAGATTTACAAAGCACAACGAACCATGTCTGCTCTATGGGTTCGAAATTATTTACCTAATACCCAAGAATTTCGAGGATAGGGCTGCAAAACATACTACAGATGTGAACTTGATAAGTTTGATCAGGGCTTCCTAAACTTGTTAGCTAGTTATTTTTTAAGGAGTGGCTCGAGACTTGGCAAATTCTAAGGAAGAGGAGGGGGGTTTGGGGCGGCTTATAAAGTTTGAGAACCACCGTCATAGAGAGAACATAACATCAAGTATAAAATACGCTTGAACTGTTTGTGTATGACTGTACCCGAATGAGTCAGTAATCTGGGACGTAACGGACTACAATACCGAGGAGGTGATTCAGGACATATACTAGAGATAACATAACTTCAGTTCAAAGCTTCCTTGATTTCTAAAACCTTTGGATACAATCATTCACACACATAAGTTCAATTTGTGCATGAATTGTCCTCACTTTTGTAGAAGGGCGCTGTTTTTTTATGTGGAAAGGGTTACCCTGCAGTTGTAAACACCATTTTTGTCCATTATAATAAACAAACACAAATCACGTTGCCTTCTTCTCAATTCTTGCTTCGATATAATCAATTTTTCGCTCTAGCGAAGACAATTTTTGATTCAAAAATGTCAGACGACTCCTGCACGAAGCATCGAATAAATTTAGAAATGTCGTCATCTTTCTGATGCTACTCGTTACTGCTTCAACGTATTCGCGATTATCCCAATCTTCCTGGAAAGAAGAACAAAATTTTATTGGACATGGAATGTATTTTTGGATAGTTCATTGAATTCTTGCTGCAGTTGTTTGGGTTTTCGTTGTTTTGAAAAAATCGTTATGCTCTACCAATTGGTACCAGATTCCAGTACTTATAGATGGGAGAATTTGGAGGGCTATCATTTATTTATTCATATATTCTCGGTGACCTGGACTTGAAAAAAACTGGGTTGAGGCAAATCCTTTTCTATCGCTCGAAAACGCATGACAAAGCTTTGCAAAAATTTTGCGTACATTGAGGTGACCATATCAGTCAAAGCTTGTTTATACTAGAACAACTCAAAGTACGGAGCTGCCAAATAATGGAACAGTTTAAAATGACTCCCTCCACCACTTTTATTACCTGTATTCTCTGATGTCGACTTTCCTTCGTTTCATTCGAAATGTTTTCTTCGTACAACGACATAGTTTGGCGGATGGTTGGAAATGGCGGGTATGATTTTGTGGACTAGCAAGCAATACTGTTACTTAGTTTCTACTAGAAAGCAATACTGTAAATAGAATATATAAATCTTAGGACATGAACAGACGGCTATTAGTAATAACTAATATCAGGCGCGGCGGTGTGGCCCATCGTAATATGCGCTATGAATACGCTCACCACCGCACCTCTGATTACTCTGTGTGGGTTCGCAGGTTCGAATCCCATGCGGGATGGTTATGTGCGAGAGGATTGCTGGACTCCTCGCCGCCGTAGGGTGGTTCACATAACCGCTGGTGGGTTACGGCTTCCTCTATCATCAAGTCCGTGAAGCCGAAAACAAATACCAAACTAATCCCATAACCGACATGGAATGGTAACCGGACGAGAGGCCCTGGTTCACCATATTGTTAAGCCGTCTTATCGACTTTCCTCTCCCTCGGAATAAATATGTAAATCCTAGCAGTCGATCCCCATGTTCATCACCTTGCACAAGGCATAATATATGGCGTGAGTGGTGTCAAACCGGAAAAAATTAGTCCTTTCAAAACAGTGACTTTCCCTGTCTTATTGACTGCCACTGATACGTGATCTAAGGATGTAGATAAGCCTTCACTGATCTGATAAGAAATATATTTTGTACGCACTGAACAATACCCTGAACAAGCAGCCACTGCATATCGCCATTTACAGACATTATCAAAAACTTAATTAAACTTAATTGTTGTAAAAAAACACCATTCCAAAAATAAACCAACTACATCAACTATGGCTGCCAGTGTAGGACGTTGTTCTGAGCAAATATCAAAAAAGAACAGAGCTACTCTGTTTTGTAGGTGTCCTCACTCTGAACGCGACTGATATAAAAATATATTGACATTTAGTTCTATAACCCGAAGTTATACAGAATACAAGACACATCTCTCATTCTGAGAGTTCACTTCAAATCTACAGACAGGCAGCCACTGATACTTGATCCAAGGTTCTAAAAAAGCATACACTAATATGTAAGAGGCTACCATACGTTTATGAAGCATTTTCAATCTGAACAAAGTTCCAGAAAATCAGCCTGATACAAAAGATACTGGGTTAGGCTTGGGCACTCCTTCGGGTCTCACGTAGTTTCGTGCCTCAAGTACTTCTAGTGGTCATAGCATATGAATTTTTTCACATGTCCATTCTAACCCCGCCTGACTACGCCATCCAAAAATTACGTTACTACGATGTCACAATCACGTCATAGAGCTAGGGCTGGGCATTTCGAATCGAATAGTAAATTATTCGAATCGGTTCCGAGCTAAACTTCAAATCACCGCCATCTTGTTTTTATCTTTCCGCCAATGGTCGAGGTGAATTCCCTAAGTTTTTTTTCATTGGAGTCATATTTTTTCTACGAAATTCTAACATATGACTATTTCCTGTAGTGAGTTATTCTGCGTGAACGCTCAGTAACCTATCTGAGGGATTTATTCCATGTCTTCAGTAATTCATTTGTTGAGAGGACCAATTACAATAATAGAGTCGCTTACAAATATATATTTTCGATTCGATTCTGAAATCACAAGGTATTCGAAAATGCCCAGCACTACATAGAGCTTGCCAAAGTATACTTACAATCGCCCGAAATGGCGAAGAACTCTACATTACATGTCCGAAGGTCTTACTGAATACAATGCACATTTTAGACAACTCCACCTCATTAATCGTTGACCTCAAATCTCACTTTAAATTTACATAAAAGCATCAACTAATACGTGATACAGATAAGCACACTGGTACGAATACACTGGTAGTAAGGAATTGGTTTCGGACATCCGACTGAACGATGGATACTACATTACATATCTGAAGACAAACAGAATACCTCGCACATGTCATGTCTAATTCTACAATCCCACTGGGTATACGGGCAACCGCAAACATCATTCACAAATCATATGGGAAAATGCGATACTCAATCAGCAGAAATCCTATTCTATTGTAAGTATTATAAGGCGCGTTCATTACATCTTCACTCTTAAAAAGCTCCTGACAAGCATAAACGATAATCCAGGAGTTGGCAACAGGTGGCCCGCGAGCCACAACTTGGCCCGCCAAGCCATTTAGTGTGACCCTCATCAACATTCAGGTTTATCCCCATCAAGCTTAAAATCCTTATTCCACAGTTTATATTATCAGTTGATACAAACAAACTATGCAATAACTCGAAATAACAATTGCCTATTGAAGTGTTGAATAAATAAATTTTTTGCATTGTGAGAACTTTTAATTCGTCGTGTTCATGGAAAAACTAATTGCTTGTATGGCCAGCTAGATATCTGAAGTTAGGTATATGGCACAGCAAAAAAAAAGATGCACACAGTATAATCTGATAGTCTTCGTAAGGACTAAATATGGTCTTTGAAGGCACCGATTAGTTTTTTCTCCTAGCTGAGGGATGTTAAAAATCGGGAGTTCCAGAAGTATGTGCACCAAGATGGCGCAAATCCTGAACATAGTATGTGTAACAGGTTAGAGTTCAAGTTGTGCGCCAATACTTCTGGAGCGCCAAAAATCGTATAGCATGTATATAAGCATCTTGTCAACTGATATTTACTAGCATATCTGTAACATAACTATTTCTCACCATATTCTTTCTACTTGTAGCCGACGACTTGGGACCTTGCTTTTTGAAAACTCGTATAATCTCTAAAGTCGGAAAAAAATAGGGATCTGAATTAATTTAAGCATGTGTCTAAATCCTTTAAATAACCGTTCGTGGTCTACAATTGCATCTAAATCAAAACGCTCGCTTTCAGCAATCCTACGCGTATCCGCATCGATACTGTTAATAAAATGTAGTAACAGCAATGTGAATTTATGGGTTAAACTAATACATACAACCATACCACTTTCTTTGGAAAAGAAATACTGCTATTTTACGGTACTCCCATAGTATGTGTACCAGATTGGGGTTAGGTCATAATTTTATTCCGGTTTCCTTTATTTTAGTTCTATCACGAGTTCGGGGACTGTTTGTGTTAGTTAAGTGAATATACCCCCTGTCCATGGGCTTCCGTCCCTTCACACAACTTGATGTTAAGTAGGCAAACAAAATTAGTTATCTCCATATTGATACACATACTTTTGGATTGCCGTATTCTACATTGGCTAAGTGTATTTTCGCGGCAGTTGGAGGCTCTGGCAATACCGTGCAATACAAGTTATATCCATCCTTATTTTTAACAGTATTTGGAACCCGGTTACTCCAGGAAATAATCTTAGACTCGATGCTGGGATACAATGCACTATAAAAAAATATAGCAGTTTTACTATGAATTGCAGTGTAATTTAACCTTTTCAATTAATAACATGACAAATTTTTACAATTTCTGAATAAGAGAATTGGACTTAGTCATCAGCTGGGCTCTATCGGCTTTTTCCGATGACTTAAGAACAGGCGGCCCGCGGGCCACAACCCGGCCCGCCAACCTGTTCAGTGCGGCCCTTGTCAACACTCAGATTTTTCCCATCAAACTTTAAATCCTAAAATGACAGTTTATGTTTAAAAAGGCGCTCACATGAGTAAAAATACATAATGATTTTTGCTCTTCTCGCTGCGATAAATTTTTCGCTGTCTTTCCCGGTGCCTTCATTACTGTAAGGCTAAGCGATAGTTGAGACATAAATTTTTTCTGACACTAATTTGCACCAATCTTGATTGATTTGCTGAAAACCGAACTTTACCTGGTTTGCTATCAATAATCCTTTCATCAAATGAACCAACCGAGATAGATGAGAATGTGCGCGTAAGCAAAGTAAGTCTGTAAAAAGATTCTTTAAGATATTGTTAAAATTAAGTGGCCGCGTTATCTAGCCTTGTTCGGGGGCAAAAAGCACGAGTAAGCGTCGTATTACATCATTTTGAAAAAAAATTGCCCTCCCTTCCCAATTTTGGACTGGCTACGGTCTGGTACTGCATTCTTGCATATGGATTGAAAGCATAAATTCCCGTAGTATGTACCAGGTTAGGGCCTAATTTTATTCCGATTTTCCTTATTTTAGTTCTATTGCGAGTTCGGGGACTGTCTGTGTTAGCCAAGTGAATATACCCCCCTGTCCATAGGTTTCAGTCTCTTTACACAACTTGATGTAAAGAAGGTGAACAAAATTAGTTACCTCCATATTGGTACAAACACTTCTGAAGCGCTGTAGGCTGAGATATAGGAAGGTGGTTCCCCAGAAAACCCAAAATAGCACAGTTATTAAAAATGATAAGTCACGATGATTAGTCCTATCTTATTCACACCTCGAGTCTCGCCCGCCACCTGCTTAATACGAAATTGTCATACAACATAAATCTATATAAATCCTTCACTGACACGATATCAAACACTCAGCATTAGTGAGAAAACCTTAAGGAAATTTGTCATTCACCTCAGCACAGATTCAATAAGCATTGCTGTTAAAAACACGCAGAAGCATGACCTAAATTTATGAGTTATATTGTAATATAAGGTTGCTTATACTTTAAAAATTCATATTAAGGGGAATACCTGAAGAGTATGCTTTGCATTTGGTTAATGTTAAACGAAACTTGCTCTTCGTGAGTCATTTTTAGTTACATTGAATATCAAGGGAAATTTTCGATTTTTTTAATATTGTGCACGTACGCTAAGAACGGAAATGCGTCATTTGCAATACAGATGGCAAGAAGGCCGGTGGACGATTGGTAACTACTGGCAACAAAATGTTGAAAATTAGTTGCATTTCACTGTATATCGTTTAAACCAGCGATTCCCAACCGGGGCCAGAGCAGTAGGAGGTCATAATGCCAGACGCAAACTGATTTTTCTTTTTCTTTGACAAGAAAACTCCCTTGAACATGAATTGTTTGCAAATAATGGTATTTGGAATCCACCAATCAAAAAACACAAGTTTCGTCATATATATATTTCATTTATTATTATACACAATACAACATAAAACTACTCAAATCAATATTTCCTCCACAAAGCACAACAGCAACATGTTTACCCTCAATCCGGGAAAACTTTTTCGACAACACAGCAGCCACGGCCACACCTGAAGTAGGCTCGATAACTAATTTCAATCTTTCCCAAACTTGTCTCGTTGCAGATTTAATTTCGTCTTCAGAAACGGTTATGACGTCATCAACAAGGTCACGGATGATTGGCCACGTCAATGTATCAATATTAACCCTTGCTCCGTCAGCTACGGTCGAAGAGTAGTCCGTCATTTGGGTTAATTCACCTTTCTGCTTCGAAATTTCACAATCGTTAGCGGTGTCAGGTTCTGCGGCGATTATTTTTACCGCAGGGTTTATTGCTTTTGCCGCGATGGCAATACCACTTATCATCCCACCACCGCCGACAGGGACGACTATAGTGTCCACATAACGGTCTTGTTCCAGTATCTCAATACCTATGGTCCCCTGTCCCGCTATTACATCGGGATTTTGGCTGGGGTGGATAAAAACTCCTGAATGTTCTTTGATGATTCGAGCACCGACTTCACTCCGACCTGTGAAATATAATAGATGGTTTTGTTGTATCTTTATCACTTTATTACTCCTTTCATTTTTTTTTCATTTATTCTGAAAGAGGGAAGCCGATAAGACGACTTAATCTTTGACGAACCACGGCCTCTCATACGGTCACCAGTCGATGTCGAGTATGGGATTAGTTAGTCAGAAAATTGTTCCTTTCTCGATCTCACTCAAACAAGGCCCCATATCATAGGTTTCCGAAATGCTCTGCTCCATACGGAGCCCCACGGGCGACGCGAGCTCTTCGTTTACTTATTAAAACACTGACTTGGCTAATTTGGTAACTGTCCAAAGAAGTCATTACCGGATTAATAAAATTTGATAACGATAGCGTTGAAATGTGGCAACAATGCAGTAATTCAAATCTTTAACGCCATATTTCAATTACCACCTCGTTGCCACATTATTAATATGTTTGACAAGTGTCAAATTTACAGCGTTATCAATTGATTGATGTGTTTTTATTTTTATGAATTTTTATTTAAATTTACTGTTGTGCTGTAGTTAGAGCTGAATCATCAATAAAATAAATAGATGATATGAAAGCAAACACCCAAAATAAGTTAATCGGCAGAATTATTCCCGAATTTAAACAAATGTTTAATAAATTGAGACTTGAGTCCAGCTAGAGCCGCGTTAATGACTGATACTTTCCAACATTGTTATACAATACTACTATCAAGAAATCATTTATAAATAACGCTGCCTGCAAACACAAAATTTATTCACACTGGAACAAACCTTTCTGTGTTGAAGGACAGAAGACGACTTTCCCGCCATATTCTCTGACGGCTTCAACTTTACAGAACGATGAAGATTCTGGCATCACTACATAACAGGGAATGTTCAATATGCGAGCTGCTTTGGCTAGCGCCTGGAAAAAATAAGAATCGTTTTTGTTGTTGTTGTGTAAAAACGGTTTCCACCGCGACTTATACAGTGTTCCCAACCTAGGACTGACGACCCAAAACTGGTTCGCCTGGATTATGATAGAAGGATAGGATTTACATATTTATCCAGGGGAAGAGAAATGCCTATAAGACGGCTTAATCATATGGCGAACCACGGCCTCTCGTCTGGTTACCAGTTCATGTTGGGTATGGGATTAGTTTGGTATTTGTTTTCGAAAGCATGGACTTGATGGTGGAGGAAGCCGTATCCGACTGGCGGTTACGTGAACCAACTTACGGTGGCGAGGAGTCCAGCAATCCTTTCACACATAACCATCCCCGCATGGGATTCGAACCTGCGAACCCACGCAGAGTAATCAGAGGTGCGATGGCGAGCGTATTCCTAACGCCTAACGCTAACGCTAACGATCAGCCACACCGCCGCGCAGATTGCTAGAAAAACGGGCTGGGAACCACTGAACTAATTTACAATAATGAATCGGAAAGATAATGGTCCTTCAAAAAATAGTTGCTATTTCGATATCAGTTGGCCGTATGCAAAAAAATAGTACTCCCGAAGTACGTGAACCAAGATGACGGACACCGTAACATAGTATGTGTACCAGGTTAGGGTTAGGTCATAATTTCAGGTACAAATACGACGGGAGTCACTTGACTAGTCCCCGAACTCGAAACAGAACTAAAATAAGGAAAATTGGAATAAAATAAAGGCCTAACCCTAACCTGGTACACATACTGCGTTCCGGTGTCCTCCCGAAAATAAGACCCAACCGAATTTTAAAAATAATTTTACTATAAGCCCTCTCCTAGTATAAGCCCTTTCGCCGATGGCCCGAAAAAAACGTGGTGTTTATAAGAAAAGGATATCGGTTTTTCATATTTTGTATATTTGAAAATCTCGTAATTCTCTACTTTGTAATTTGTTTTTAAATAAAAAATGAAATACACCAAAATAAGCACTAGTGTTATTCTTGGAAAAAAAAATGAAAATAAACATCTGTCTTATTTTCGGGGAAACATGGTATGAGTCGAAAAAAATAGTTTAAATCCCAACCTGTCCGTGGTTGCCACTACTGTGTGTTAGAACGCATGTTGGTTTCACTGATTTTTCTTTTAACTTGAGAATAGCGTTTGTAGCCCCCCTGATTTTAAAAGATCCGGTCTTTTGTAGATTTTCACCTGTAAAATTGAATTAAACGACTTAATTGTATTCGGTACTAAAAAATACTACAAAATAAATTGATGGAACATTCAGAAGAAAGTCGTGTCCATCATTAGAAACCCAGCTGTAGAGTATCCCGTAGTATGTGAACCAAGATGGCGACACCACGTAGTATGTGTACCAGGTTAATTAGGCCATAATTTCATTCGAATTTACCCATTTTCTATACGAGTTCGGGACCTATCCAAGGTGGACTCCCCGCAGTATTTGTACTTGAACATTTATGGGCCTAACCCTAATCTGTTACTACATTACTACGTTCGGTGTCCGCCATCTTGGTTAACCATTACTACGGGAGCACCGTTAAAAGGTGGCAATTAAAAATGACAATTTTAACATCGAGTAAATTCTACTAAAAACTCTGTATCATCAAGCAAACATCTAACTCTGCCAGAAGTTACCAGACATGTTGATGAAAAGGTGAAGACGATAGGTTTATATATAATATTTCACTTTCACTTCCAGAAATAATAAAAATTGGTAAGCTCACTAAACTCAAAAACCCTTAAATTAGAGTCACCATATTTTGAAAAAATCAAAATTCCGGACAGTGTCTGACTATTTTATGACCTCGTAGTAAAAATACGCGCAGGGTACAAAAAACATGTTCTGTATTAGCAGTGTGCACAGTACGATTGCAGATGCAGTAAAATTCCGGATTCCGGACATTTCAGTTTTTTTTTTCATCCTGGACGCAAATGTAAACCCTAAATTCCGGGAAAATGTCCGGAATCTTCCGTACGGCATGGCAACCCTACTTTAAATAAAACTGCTATTTCTACCTTTGAAAACCATCTTCCTTCCTGCTAAATCGTTGAAATAAGACGACGAAAACATCCCAGTCCTGTGAATGTAAGGCTTGATGGCCCTCATCGCACTTTTAACGTCTTCATAATTGCAACAATACCGCTGCTTAGCTGATGACGAACTCGCCCTAACTTGAGTAACGTTACATCCTATCCTACATCCATCCTTTGCTATCTGCCTAGAAATGATATTACTCAGCCCTGACATTTTAAATCTTTGTGTTTTTTGCCCTAAAGTAGTCCTAATTTAATCACTCCTACATTCTTAGAAAATTTTCACAAATATTTAGTTCTGCTTAATAAGTCTTTCTGACGTCACAAGGAGGTATTGAGATTTAAATTTCATATGATGCCAGATTTTTGATTTCATAAAGGCCAGTACCGACTTCAAAAATTATTTTCGTAGCGTTATCTTTATGATTTAAATACTTTAAAGTTGATATGTGTTATCATTTTGCTAAAATATGTATATTGAAGACTAAACTCGCGAAAAAATCCTTCAAAATCGACCTGAAATATAATTTGTTAACCGACTTGAGAGTCCTAAAATTCTCATTGTGACATCATAGAGATAGATAAAAGCGAAGAGGACTTTCATTTTTGACGAGTTTTTTGAGTGTAACTGGCTATTTATGGTACCCAAAGCATTAGAGTGAGGGTTTTATTATGTAATGGGGTAGGATGGGCAACAAATGTTGTTGTGCGAGTAAGGGCTACACAAGTGTTGTTGACGTTCAGGAGAGAGATGGAAATGTGCAGGTTAGTGTGCGCTGATACAGGCAATGAAGTAATTTTAATTCGCATGTTTTTTTCAATATCTGATTTAACTTATAGTTCGGGCAACTTTTATGAATTTGCGTCCTGTGTGTTTGGCGTGCGTGTTGCCATTTTTGGTACCACAACGAAGTTCAAAATCAATTATTTCTCGTCCAATGTGAGACGGTCCGAAATCGTATCTTGGCAAAAAAAATGAAGAAAATTAGTAATCAGAGCAGTATAGTCAACCAGTGGCAAACATTGACGCATGTGCGACCCCTTCACAATCCCTTCCGTATGCTTTAAAATGGGAATTCGATTTACTCAACGCCTAGCGAATCTTTTGTGAAAGCCCCCGCCACCAATGCAAAAATATGAGATTGGAGAAAAACTGCAATTCCTAACCCTAACTGGAGAATTACTAGTTTTCTTAAATTCAGCGTTGGCGATTTTTTTGCGGTGACTTTCTACAAAATATCCCGCCTAACCAATCGGAAACTGCTCGAAAACCACGACCCAAAATGGCCTCGTTGCCAAAACAGACATTGGTAGTTGGTACCGGCGAAAGATTTACCACTAAATGCTCCTTAATATCTGCATGACTTACTTTCTATCCTATCAATAATTTAACTACCAGTAGTGCATAATACGATACATTTTCGATCGCCTATCTTGCACAATCGCGTTTCTCACTGTGTTGCGCGGAAAAAACACTGCTGTTCGGCGAGTTTCTTCGGAGCGTTCCGCGAGACAGGAATCGAAATTGCGACTTAATTGGTCGCCATGGCGATCTCAGTCCCTACTTTGGGTTCCGCATTTGTCTTTGCAAAACAGGCGGACAGGCCTTGCTCTCTAAACAGGCTGGAAGGAAGCCTGGAAAGCATGCGTTCATCGTTCAATATCGTTGACCGTCGGCCTAGTTATTTAATTGTCAAGTTAGAACAAATTTTATTACCATAAGTCCATAACACGATTTATTATTATCAATTTTACCTTCTAATTTCATGATGTTCCGAGAGGCGAGATAAAAAGCGTAGGTGTTCCGCGACAAAAAGTTCGAGAAACGCTGTTGTACAAGACTGAAGGCAAAAATTGACCACTTTGCGTTGTTTCGTTTCAGTCGAATTCATTAGTTGACTATGAAACGGCTGGACTGGTTCAAGACCTTGATTTATTTGCTGGAATTGATTTTGAAAGGAAAGCAACATTAGCTTCTGCAGAAGAGGTTGAACAAGAGGAAGAATCAAATGAAGGATTTGGGCTGCTGGGATTCACGGTGAGAAATCATTGACATTTGTACTTGAAAATATTTTTACATCTCGCCATTTCCCAGACAATGTTGTCTGAATAATTTCTAGTCTCGTTTCAATGAAAAAATTGTATTGTTGGGATTTGCGATAGAAAATTATTTTTAAATTTAGTAAACGATTTGAACTCAATTTTTTTAAGTTGTAGTCTCCTGACATCTCTTTTGCTAATTATATTCAGTTATATAGCATTTATTGTGCCGGTGGTTTTTTATCAGTATTCTTTTCACTCCTAATTCGGGGTGTAGTGCCTTCGACAAACTCTTGTTGAAAAAGAAGTTGCCGCGAAGCCGTACGTTATGGCACCATTATCCCATTGGATAAAATTATCGTTTGTGTTTATGTACCACATCAATGTCGCGAATCCTCGCTATAAAGCCTATTAGGAATCTGTAATCATATGTGGACCCCCAACTTACATGGTGTATTTTCTTAAGATTGTTTGGGGGCGGAGTCTCCACATTATCCAAAATTGAGATTGTTGGAATTGTGGTAGAAAACCACCTTTCATTTTGCCGGTTCCTGTACATGTTTTACTGAATAATTTTAAGTTTCGCTTAAACGGAGAAATCGAATCCTTAGAGTTTCCTGTAGGATATGTGAAACTTTGCTTTGTTGGGTTCTGTTCCACCTGGTTATTTGTCTGGCAATGAAATGCGTTTTTAATTTCTTCTGTGAAAATTGTCACAACGAAAAGTATGCAGCAATAAAAAAAAAAAGGCAAAATTGGCAAAAAATGACATGTGTTTAATGAGGACGATGATGATATTGGTATTAATTAATTTTTGCGCATCTCACTATTTTTTTTTATACAACCATGTATTTAATACAAACAGTTCGATCAAGCAAGAACACGGGTATCGCAAGAATATTTAGGCAAAGATTGTTGTATGTAATAACTTTATAATGTTATTCATTATGCCAGTGCTCTTCAACCGGGTATGCGGTATACCCAAGTGTATACCGGACCATAATTTAGGTATACAACTGATAAAGGGTATACGAAGGGTGTACAGCCCAAGTCAGGGAATCTAAATTCTGATATAATAAATTATAAAATATTCAAGCGGAGGCAACAATGCAAACGCGGTGCACATGAAATATAAAATGTCAGTTGCCGCAAAGAACCGACGTGAGCACATTGTTACATCACAAATACTAATAGATAGATAATGCGGTCACGTGTCAGGGTTGGTGATTTCGGCTGCCGTGCACTTCGTTTGATTTACGTTGAACATTATTCCCGTTAGCGCTCAGGCCGTCAGTCAAATTCATACCTGGCGGACACTAGCCTATTAGATTGCATGATGATGTTGCAGTACAATATGTGTTTAAAATTTAATGTTAATTCAAGCCTTGAATAAACAATGATATTTGTGAGATATACAAAGCTCTTGAAAAGTTGTAAAAGGTATACCACGATAAAAAAGGATGAAGAACACTGCATTATGCTAATGATTTTTCAATTAAATAATAAACAAGAGGGCTATGCTCATTTATGTGGTAAAAACTGAATATCCCATCATCAATTCCCCGAAAATCACATTTTGATGACGTCATATAACACAAAACGAATCCCATAGAGCTCATAAAAATATTTGAAATGAACAAAAGTAATAGTCTTCTAGCGAAAAACACAATCTGGAAATTTCAAAGAACTTGGTCCAGGTATTAAAAAGAAAAGCGGTCTTCAAATTAACGATAGGAAGAAGAATACCAAGAACAACAAAACATAATAACAAAACGATCTCAGGGCCACTCCGTTATCAAATACCCTCTCCCTGTGTATAATAAATATGTCAGGCAACGCGGAATCGGTAAGCCCGTTTAAAAATATTATCTGTGTGGTTTGAAAACGTCTAATGGACCTTTCCCCGACCTTTGACCCCCGGAAAATTCTTCCTATACTTTACCATTGCAAAATTTTCGGGGCTATTTTAAGAGTGCTTTTGCGAAATGGCAACAGTAAAATTGGGTATATGTTTCAAACCATCATTAGGATCCATCGCATATAACAATCTGTTTTTTAAAAGTACCGGTAAAGAATCTTAGCCTAGTCTATCACAGCTATTTCTACACTAATTTTTTATTACTGCAATGAAATGAAAACTCCTGGGAAGACAGAGTGATCATTGAATTATCTGATTTATATTTAAGTTTCCGAAACACAACAGAAAACTAACGAATATAGTCCAAAAACGCGAAAACGAGGTAATGTTTACGACCACGCTTGAAAATCTGTCTGAGTGAGAAAAGTGTCTGAGCGGATGCAAAAAGGGAGCATTGTTACGTCACTTTTTGCATCTTGCTGATTGGCCAATGTCACGAAGTAAACAAGGAAGTCGATGCTCGGGGAAAGGTCTATATAAGCGCCCAAAGACCGTTGCCAGAAAATAGCGTATACCTAAAATTCTGCTAGACGACAACCCGGGGGTTTCCCTATACATTTTAGTTTAATCCCGAGTCACGAGATAGGCTGACAAAGAATGTTCTAGGCGCTAGGATATGTCAACATTACGCCGAGCGCTTTGAAAGGCATTCTGGCAGCTGTGCAAGGTATGTCCTATGATATAGTCATATGATTAACATTTAATCAGGCAAATTATGATTATCGTACTCACAGTAGGGCGGGCCTATTTCATCGAGAAAAGCCGACATAATATAGTATGGCATTTTTAGCCTATTTGAGTGTCTTGTTCAATATTTTATTGTACGATATTGGCTAAAGTTTATGCGTATAGGCCATGTTTTGTCGGGAATACCACCTACCCTGAAAATAAGACCTGGTCTGAATTTTAAAATGTAATTTTAATATAAGCTCTGCCCTTAAAATAAGACCTGGTCAATAACGTGGAATATTTGCAGTTATTTTGAATAAAACGTGTTATTTATAAGTAAATGAATATCGGACCTCATATTTTGTAGATTCTAAAACCTCGTATATCTCTACTTTATAATTTTGTTTTTGATAAATAAAAAAGACACCCCCAAAAAAACGCCTTAGTGTTATTTTTCGGAGGAAAATTGAAATAAGACCATGTCTTATTTTCGGGGCAACACGGTGTCCTATCACCGTGAATTATTGGACTCGAATTGTACATATCAATCAATTTAGTGCAATTTTGTTGTGATGAAATAGCTTTTCTCCTCACCTAGTCAACCAACTGATTGCAAATTTTCAGCATTTGACAAGGATAACAATTGTCTCACTTGAACCCGATATTTTACTTAAAATTTTGATGTTTTACTTTTATTGATGGATAGCAAATATTTTGCATTCCGTTCGATTATCTCGATATTGCTCGTCCGCCGATCTTTTCAGCAAACTCGATTGGAACCCGATTTTTTTACCTAGAATTTTGATGCATTACTTTTATTGGTGGATAGCGATTATTTCACATTGCTCGATTATCTCGCAAATTATCATTACAGCAAATAGGATGCTCAGCGCAAGCTTTACCATGCGCACCCCTCGTGTCTTTATATATCGGAGAATTGTCCTCTTTTTTTTTTTGAAGATGATAAGATTTTCTCTGTGTCCCGTGAACCCCATATTTTACCCAAATTTTGATGTTTCACATTTTTTAAAAAGAAAATATTCCGTATTGCTCGAAATCTTGATATCGGTTGCCCGGCGATCTTTTCAGCAAATATGATGCTCAGCTCTGGCCTTACCGTGCGGATGCCGATGTGAGACTTTCGTTCCCATATATTTGAGCATTGCCACCTTGTAATTTTTGCTCGTAATAGCAGTTTTGCACGCCTTCGGCGCTTGTTGAATTACCTCCCACTAAGCAAATATTTCTCTCAAACGAAATGTTATATAAATAAATATTTCGCTAATGTTGGATAGCTCACGCGGTTCGAAAGGTCGCTTGTGTAGTTGTTCGTCAATGATTTGAAATTATTTGCAAACGAATAGAGCAATGCTTAAATAGATGAACACGAAGATCCCAAACCAGGTCTGTTGCGGTAGCTGAAAGCCGATTTTGCTAAATAGATTGGCGGACAACGATCAAAGGACGCATTTTTGAATGCCATGGGCGCCATTTTACGTAGAAACGCCACTGCCGATCAGTATCTACTGCCATCCCTGTAGAGATGTACTACCCTATCATAGCGACCCATGATATCGATAATATAGCTTTTAGGTTAAGTCAGTGGTTACATACTACCAGTACTTTTCCATTTTTGGTTGAGGGATAAAGATACTCCAATAATAAATACGCTGATGACAATTCAAATATATATCGATTATCGCTGTGTACGGCGAATCAGTATTCTTCTATCAGTATTCTTCCCACTTTCAGTTGAGGACTCGGGACCTTGCTTTGAGCAAACTAGCAACTCTTCTATCAGTACTCTTTTTATTTTTATTGGACGTTCAATGCTTTGCCTTAATGCAAACTTGCAATTTTTCTATCAGTACTCTTTCCACTTTTGGTTGGTAGCTTGGTACCTTGCTTTGAGCAAGCTTGCAACTCTTCTATTATTACTCAACGATTGTTTGCATAAAGCACCTCACGTAACTGTTGAGTGTTTGCATAAACCATCCAACGTAACCAACGAGTGTTTGCATAAAACACCTTACGTAACCATTGAGTGTTTGCATAAATAAACCATCCAACCAACGAGTGTTTGCATAAACCATCTTATGTAACCAACGAGTGTTTGCATGAACCATCTTATGTAACCAACGAGTGTTTGCATAAACCACCTTACTTAACCGTTGATTGTTTGCATAAACCATCCAACGTAACCAACGAGTGTTTGCATAAACCACCTTACGTAACCATTGAGTGTTTGCATAAACCATCCAATGTAACCAGCGAGTGTTTGCATAAACCATCTTATGTAACCAACGAGTGTTTGAATAAACCATTCTGTGTAACCAACGAGTGTTTGCATAAACCACCTTACGTAACCGTTGAGTGTTTGCATAAACAATCCGACGTAACCAACGAATGTTTGCATAAACCATCCAACGTAACCAACGAGTGTTTGCATAAACCACCTTACGTAACCATTGAGTGTTTGCATAAACCATCCAACGTAACCAGCGAGTGTTTGCATAAACCATCTTATGTAACCAACGAGTGTTTGAATAAACCATTCTGTGTAACCAACGAGTGTTTGCATAAACCACCTTACGTAACCGTTGAGTGTTTGCATAAACAATCCGACGTAACCAACGAGTGTTTGCATAAACCACCTTACGTAACCATTGAGTGTTTGCATAAACCATCCAACGTAACCAGCGAGTGTTTGCATAAACCACCTTACGTAACCGTTGAGTGTTTGCATAAACCATCCAACGTAACCAGCGAGTGTTTGCATAAATCATCTTATGTAACCAACGAGTGTTTGAATAAACTATCCAACGTAATCGACGAGTGCTTGCATAAACGACCCGGTACTCCTGAAGTATGTAAACCCAGATGGAGGACACCAGAACGTTTAGGCCATGATAATTTTATTCCAATTTTCCCTATTTTAGTTCTATTACGAGTTCGGGGACTGGCAAAGCGACCATCTTGGTTCACATACTTCGGTACCGACGATCCTACGTTACCGACAGTGTTTGCATGAACCATCTTGCGGCGACGAGAAGTCTAGCAATCTTGTCTACGAGAATAGGACAACCAAATTACGACTATAGTTTTATGGATATAAATATAAATTTCCGTTGGAAATAACGATGAAAATAACGTCATAATGACCCCAAATGTTACGTTTTGCTTTCATATTATTGTGTTAACGTCAGCTGTTGTAAATAACCTGTTTTTATTCATAGTTTTTCATATTGAGTTTTTGGCCTCCGGCCGTGTAACCAAGTCTATTATTCGTAAATGACCCACCTAGAGAAGTTACTGCCCACCCCTGCTCCAAGATCTACTGATCGTCGAGTTACTGTGACTTCATGTCTTTTTATAATCAACTTCTCTTTTGTTGCCCTCTTCAAAAAATCGACGAATGAGTTTATATTTATTTTTGAGTATTAATCTCTATTCTATATCTATTTCACCCAGTGTGAGATTTCGGTCATGGGATCAGGGGCATATCAAACTTTTTTGTTGCTTGGGGCGAGTTTCCGATAATGATGCCCCTTATTCCTAGCTTCAAAAATAATTTGGGAGATAAACAAATAATAGATGTTGGTATATGTGAGAAAGAATAAAGGTCAATTAGGAGTGAAATGATGTATTATTTAAATCAGGGGTGGCCAACCTATGGCGCATGCGCCAAACGTGGCGCATTGCATGATTAGAGGTGGCGCATTGCATCTTTAACCCTTTCATGCCAATATTGTTAATTGCACTTGGCTTCTCCACGCCAAGCCGTTTTTTTTGTGATTTACATGGTGACTTTTGATTGTACCTAAAGTCTATTCTCCTTACTCCACGTCGCCCACTTACTGTTTGTTGGAATTAGAAACAACAGGCGATTATCGACGTTAGCTTTTGGACGGACTTTATGACATTCATTTTAGACTTTTAGCAAAAATTAGTAAAATTTACTATTTTTTCCCTACTGAAGTAAAAAGTTCAGAACTTCTGGAAAAATAGAAAATCGTCATTTATCAGCTTGAAACATGGATTTTCCATTGCCCAGACTTCCCAAATATCTCCCAATAACCATTGAACAACCAGTTGAATTGCCCAAGCGTAAAAAATTTATTATAACTCAACCCACAACATGCTGAAAATGACCCCTAAATACCACCTTTTCCATCCAAACTTCAAATGACCGTTGTCAACAAAAGCGAAGCGTAAAATCGCTTGCTGTGACTAACCATAATGAAGATGCCAAGCAATATACAATTGGAACTAATTGACTTGAAAACTCATCCATCATTGAAAATTAAATTTGATGAGCTTTCTTCAGTCCCAAGTGCATCTGACATGATCAAGTTCTGGCAATCGTTACCCCGTGAAAATTTTCCAGAACTGAGAAAATTTGCCCAGGGTTTCACATGTCGTTTCGGAACAACATATAGATGTGAACAAACATTTTCTGCCATGAAACTAATTAAAAGCAAAGCGAGGTCAGGACTTACAGATTTAAATTTAAAGAATGCACTGCTCTTCTCAGTAACAAACTTAACTCCAAGAATAAAAAAAACTGGCGAAAGTAAAACAGCAGCAAAAGTCTCATAAAGGCGGTACTCAAATAAAATTGATCAGTTTTATTTATTATACTTCCTTGCTTAATTTCTACTCATGTGAAGTTGTAAATTGTAAAAACTATATATACGTGTGCATATATGTGTGTGTATTATAAATTTATATAATTTCAACAAGAAGCGGACATTAGGCATGGGAATACAAGAGATTTACGGCGCATCTGAAACATTATGTTTAAAACGTGGCGCATGGTATGTGAAAGGTTGGCCACCCCTGATTTAAATCATCAAACTGACCCCAATAACGTGCTGCCCGGGGCGGCTGACCTTATGACCCCACTCTGGAGACGCCCGGATTTAAAATCGACTCACGATGTTAACCTCTAACCGCGAACCATCGCGATTATTGCCTTACTACTATGAGATCAATTTTCTATAAACTTCGGTCAGATTTACATAAAACATATTTTTCTAACAAAATTTCTCATGTTTTGATGACATTTTTACCAAAAATACTTGGTATCGTCAAGTATACATAGATTAACGTATTTTGATACAGACGATGTTTTAAAATTTACATAATATAATTTGTCAATGCTTATACCAGAATAAAAACTAAGTTTATATATATCGCCCTGTAAACACCATAGTATTTTTTACGACGCTCCAGAAGTGTGTGTGCCAACATAGCGGTAACTAATTTTGTTCGCCCACTTTCCATCAAGTTGTATAAAAGGACGGAAGGAAGCTTCGTATAGAACTAAAATAAGGAAAATCGGAATGAAATTATGGCTCAACCTAACCTGGTACACAAAGTACGGGAGCACATTTTTTGCAGTGCAGACAAGCCCCTGCTTCGGATTTAAACTTTAGATTTTAACACGCGGCGTCAATCTAATTAAGTTTAATACTTTAACCGCGGCCATCGCGAGTATTGTCCTCTTTTTTTTATCATTGCCTGTTCTTATCTTTTTTAATCCCTTCTTTTCTCTCAGCCTGCATCAAAAATTCATCGCAAAAGTCGGATAATGATTGTCGATTCAACTGATCTGCCTGAACACAGCAAGCGATTGAAAGGAAACAAATGAGATGAGATTATTTTATTGATATATCTTGGAATTATAAAACTGGGAAATACACTGCATCGTAAAAGTTAATTCCGATATCTGACTTTTCTATGACGTGCAACGTTGTCCGCTACATAATATGTAGTGCAGTGGTTCTCATTCCTAAACTTCAAGCCTTTATAGAGTTTGTCAAGTCTCGCGCCCACCTCAAAAATAATTAACTAACTAACAAGAAGCTACAAATAACACATAGTAAGGCGAAAGTATTTTTTATTTAAAAAACACGTTGAAAATATGTTGATGGAACGTAAATTATTAGAGATTATTACTTGGAATAACCATTTATTAAATAAGCATGCTTGGGCTGAAACACCTGTATTCCATACCAATTGAGGAGTTCTGTGTATGCGTCTCCATTAAGTAAAGTTTAGAATTTTTCTGAAATCGTGAATCACGAAAACGAATTAGTATCAAAAGATATACCGAACTTATCAAGCAAACTTATATCGTTTGCTTCTTATCAGCTGTTCGTGTGCTCACTATCAATAACGAAGCAGAGAAACTTAGAAATAAGAAAAATGAGAAAAGTTATCCGCACTCCTTTTGGATATATTTTGTGAATATACCTTATTATGAATAAAGTTGTAACAACCGCATTCTATCAAAGGGCGGCAAAATGCCTTGGCACACCCTTCGATTAAACTAAAATGACTTGCAGGGAGATCGCGAGCTTGTCAGCAGAGCTATATAAGTAGGTATATAACTACAACATGTTGCTAACTGGTGGGTTCGCGCAAATCTGTTCTTGTCATGCCGTGAGAATCAGTTAGCCCGCTCTTGTTTTAGACGTTAGACGACCGCAGCTGGCGGCTAGCGTCATATTTGGCGTTTCCATTGTTTTGTATTGAATTTATGCAAAGCGTGTCAGGTCAATGTAGCTTAGGCTAGTGGTCTTCAAACTTTTCATGACGCGACCCCATTTCAAAAAATTATGACGTATGATGAGCATTGGCGCCCCCAAAGTATATTTATTGAAATGAAAAAAATAAAACCAATAAAAACTGATCACACTTTTAACCGATTGCTTCTCTTCGCAGAGCTTTTGAGATTGTGGCGTAATGTAGCTTAAGCTTCTTATCGATAGAACTTTTTGACAAACAGCGCATTTCGTTTAGCACTTTATTTCGGTTAAACCATGCTTTAAAAAAGGATTGATTACATGACCTATTCTTCTGTTTATCAGCCATTTGTGAAACTTAGCAAACAATAAAGCAAAAGCAACGATCATAGTCCATTACAGTGAAAACACAGCAACTGTTTACTTTAAAATTTGAATTATTGTCGTTACACAATAGCCTTATTATAGTTTCTCGAGTTTCTGGTTAGCTTAAAAGTACTAACGGCATTCCTTTGTTGCTTTTATGCTATTTAGCTGTATAATTAAAGTGAATATTTCATGACATAACTGTAATACATGCTACAGTATATTCCATTTTTTTGTCATAGACTTAGAGTTATTAAAAATTTAGTAAATTGGCTAGATATATTGCCTCGGTATCTCGATTTTGGGAAAAATTACGCAAAAACTGCTATTCCGTTTGTTAATATTTGAAACTCCTCTCAAATAGTCAGCAAAATCGAAAGGGCCGTAGAAAAACATCCCGAAATCGGTCAGAATGAAGCAATATAAGTTTTACCAATGCATATCAGCATTTGCAGGGGTGGCCCAAAAAAGTAGAACACGGATCATTTGAGAAATATTTTAAAATTACCGGTATTCGATTGTTACTTTTATACTATTTAGCTGTATAATTAGAGTGAGTACTTCGAAATACTGTTACAAGCCATACAAGCAAAGTAAGGTAATGCCGTAAAATTGTATGTAAGAATATGAGAATCGTACGTTTACTGAATAGCGCACGACCTAAACTAGGCTAGTCAGTTACTCGTATTCATTTTTAACCCTGTACTGCGTAATGGCGGTTTAGAATGCTAGTGTACAATTTCATCAGTGTTTAGCTTTTACAGTGTGCCGCTATTTGACTTTGTATGATTGCGCAAGTTAGTGTAGTATGTTGTAATTTCTGAGTTAGTTTTATTTCGTATTACGACATTATTGGTAATATTAGGTTGAAGTAGACGTATCTTGCCATTCATCCAAATCACAAGTCAAGTTTTAGCTGTTAGGTAGGATTGTAAAGATAGTTTTATTTTGTAGCTGCCTTATAATCAGACCTGTATTCCAATAAACCTCTACTGAGGAGGCCTTTCTAATGGTGATCATATCCATACCTATTCCAAACCCATTTTCTAGATGGCAACCCAGTAGCTCTCTACGGAGTATACATTCTAGCGCGAAAGCGGTAATAGCAGAGTGTATCTGATATTTATACCCTAAATGTATCTACTAGAGTAGCGGTTCCCAAAATTTTTGTACGTGCGGCGCCGAATTATCTGGGAATAAACTCACGGCGCACTTACACGAAACAAATTAAAGACTTTCTGAAGTATGCGCACCAAGATGGCGCACAACCTGAACTCAGGTTGTGTACCAGGTTAGGGTTCAGGTTATGCGACATCTTGGTGCGCATACTTCAGGAGTACCCAAATAAATGCTTTTTATGAAACCGAATTTTGTGATTAGTAATATGTACCTCGTACCTTTTAAAGTTTGAATTCCACATGACTTTGGTGCATTCAAAATCATCGAAACTCATGACTTGCCTTGCGCACCAACGACAGGGAAAATCTCATGGCGTTTTGCCATTATACGAGGTGACTTTCATTCTCTCGCTTTATCTGTCTGTCCCTAAAGTGTTCTGTATTCACGCCTCCATACAAGAGATTTAAAAAACCATTAGCAGAAATGGGAAATACTATTACTTTCTGTCTCACAAAATTTCTTTGTAAACTTGTTGGCATCATATTGCATTCTGAGGAAATTACGGTAGTTGCTGTTTCAGCAAAACTGTAGTAAGCGCTTTGGCCTGACATATTGTCGGTACTCGGCATCATATTTCATACACGCATGCATCCTGTTAAACGGAGGTAAATAAAAGTAAAAAAAACGTAAATAAAAACTAGAGCACCGGTTTCCAAAATTTTTGTACGTGCGGCGCCGAATTATCTGGGAATAAACTCACGGCGCACTTAAACGGAAAAAATGCTGGTTTTAAATAAAACTCAATTTTTTTGCGTTACTAAGTGATTCAAGAGTCTTGCTGCACACTAACACAAAATATGTGTACTTTTAAAGTTTGTAAACATGTAGGCCCAAGGAATAATAGCAGAAGGCCAATTCTTCTTCTTCTTCGTCTCTGCCTGATTTTAATTTGAAATACTAAAAAATCACTCGTGTTCGCTAAAAACTCGGTTTAGCAGATACATAAATTGCAGAAAGAAGTGTAATCTCTTTTGTTACCTGACAATATTCAATCATATTTTTAGTTAATGTTTAACACAATTCTGTTAATTTTCGCGGCGTACTTAGCAATTCGACGCGGCGCACGAGTGAAGACCGCTGTACGAGAGAGCAAAAACCGTAATGATTGAAGTTTATACAATAATTGTAATAATTGTTTCGCGCATTATCGTACTGCTTACAAGCGTAAAATTGGGGTTCAGCGTGTATTTTTCTCTTATATTCAGTGGCGCGAGGTGACTTTCATTCTCTCGTTTTATACGAAACTAAATTATTCTGCATATGCGCCTTCACATGAGAGATTTAGAAATCCATGCGCAGAAATTTTTTTATGTGTTCATTTTTTATTTTTTGGTTACCATATAGTTAATCTAAAGCTCTCTCTTTTTTCTAATTTTATTAATGCTTATGTTTGTGTGTGTGTGAGTGTGAATGACTTGATTTAGTAGTTTTAGGTGAGTGAACACGTACCACTTCCATCTTATATTCTGTACGTTTTAAACCTTATCCAAGGTTTTGTTTACTCTCCTGATTTCATAATCAGTTTTTATTTATTTGTTTTTTCAACCGTTTTATCGCCCTTCTGCTGATTATGGAATCGAAATAAACTTATCTTATCTAAATGGGAAATACTATTACTTCCTGCCTCATTAAAACTCTTTGGCATATTATTGACATCATATTGCATTCTGAGGAAATTACTATTAAGTCCTATTTTAGCAGAACTGTAAGCACTTTGGCCTGTCATATTGTCGACACTCTGCATCATATTTCATGCACGCATCCATCCTATTAGACCAACGGTGCACAACCTGCGGCCGTCGTGAAAAAATAATGCGGCCGTCCACATACAAAATCCTTTAAAAAATAAAAGTTCAAAATATAGGATTTGGCGGCTATGCTGGAGTTTATTGAAACGAAACAGGGGCACTGCCAAAAAAGTCAGATGACACGATGCGTCACAATCTGGATGATGTATTTGCTGTAGGGGATTTCACTTCACGGTTCAGATTGATCATGCGTTTCGGCAACCAACATGCAAGACTAAGGGAGTCATTAAATTGCTACAATGCTTTGTAAACTTTTTTAGAATAAATTCATGAAAATATTAGACATTTTATTATACTTTTGGGGACAAGAAATGGGGGCGACCGCCCTTCCCCTCCCCGACTTTCGATTTTTTTCAAAATTGTGCAACCATTATGCAACTTGCTGCAATATATCTGCTCAAGAAAATGTCCACCAATAAGAAAAATCCGTATAAAATGCGAATATTATACTTCCAAGTAGTCCTACATACTTCATAATTGGGCAGACTGCACCTCGCATGGGCCAAATACGCGGTTATGACGTCATAAAAGCAAAAAATCCACGCGCATTCGGCGCGCTCATGGGCCCCCTGGAGGCCGTATTGAATACAAATAAATGCAATGTGGCCGCCAATAGCAAAAAGTTTGTGCACCCCAGTATTAGACGGAGGGTTGCAGTTCAGTCAAGTATATATTTTTCCAGGCAGTGAAAATCAATCGTTCACAAATTACAAATGATAACCGCACAGTTTATGTAAGGAACCGAATTGCTCCGCGTGGAGGGGTTTTATTATTACCGAGAAGAAAATCCTATTTTTTGGTGTAGTATTAGACTATTAGTATTACTGTTTACTTATTTAGTTTAATTTAGAATCTACTCAAACTGCGCAAATGCCAGAGTTTGAGCTGCGCGCATGACAAGCTAACGTTCCTTAAATAGGGCATGATTACCACCAGGTAAATTCATATCGATGATAAATAAAGCACAACCGTTATAAAGCAACGGTTGAAAAGCACAACACACAATGAAGCAGAACGCACAATAACAACACGCAATAAAGCACATTTAACCTCCCATTAAAGATAATATATAAAGCAAATACAATCAACCTGAGTTATCAACATGAGTTTACCTGGAGGCAATCATGCATTGTTCCATTACAGATTTGAAAACAAACGGGTTTTATGCATGCTAATGTAGGAATAAAGGGTTAAAAATAGGCAATGGGGGAATATATGGGGTAGGGTTGAAAACCAATGAGATTTACAATAAGAAATTATTATTCGGGTAACAAGTTTATATTTCGCGGCGTATTCGAAATTATCTAACACTGTCTGTTCGTCATTCACTGGCCTGCGGCGTTAATAAAACTATAGGTCTCATTCGGCAGAAGCCTCGGCGCAAGAAGCCGCAAAAATGTCTATTTTTTATTAACAACAATGTTATTGTTGATTAGTTATATATATATATATTATTAAGGTTAATATTTCGCGGCGTATTTAAAATTACCTACATGATTTATTAATAAAACTATAAGTCGCATTTGGCTGTTAATTGGCGTCCGGGCAGATTAACAACAGCGAGAGTGTAATAATATCTACTAGACTGGCGGTCTGTTGTGTGAGTCCCAGAAGAGTACTTTTATTTTTTGTAACGTTAGGCGCACATTCAGCCGGACTTTATATGAAAAGGACACTCGATTGCCTGATTTTAAACATTCTGTGACAACAATGCAAGTTTACAGGGAATAATACAGCCGCAATGCAGATTTATTGTTAGCTTGCACTTGGATTTACTTTTTGCGTGACCTATACATCGTTTTTACGGCTTTCATTCCGAACACGCGACTATTTGCGAAAAGCACCAAGAATTTGACTCTGCTGCAGTGGAATTTGACTCTGCTGCAGTTGTGAAGCTTGGTTTGTTCAGCAAGTTAAGTAAAAAGTATTTTTTGTGCGCGACCGGTGCGAATAAGATTGCCCTCAATCGTCTCGGATTCCTTCATAAACTAGATGCCTATTGCACCAACATCTATTATAAATACATGTCGTTATCATTATTATTATTATTATTCAATGGTACTGATAACTGGCTTAGTTTTGTGCACCATGACTATGATATAACGCTGGGTGTTCAAATGCTTCAACTCGTTACGAGGACGTATTCTATAACAAAAGATATAATTTAATCGCTTAATAACTTTATTTCCCTAGCGCAGAGATTTTTCTCGCTGTCCGTCACGCAAATTGAATTGTAAAGAAGAGCGCTGAGCAATGATCAAATAATTAGGTTAAATATCAGGTTACGATTCAGACAGCTTTAATTTACGAGTCTTGCGTATAGGATAAAACTCGCAGAGTAGTGTGAGAGTAGAGTAGTGTGAGTTATACCTGAAAATAGCTCAGACCTGTAGACGTACGTTTCAGTGTTAAACACATTGGATTTAACTCTCCAGTCAATACTTATCCCGCTTAGGCTTAAGACTTTGTTTTAGGCCAGCGTTTCTTGAACTTTTTTTTGTCGCGGAACGCTTTTTGGTCGCCTCACGAAACACCGAGAAATGAGGATGATAAAAAAAATTATGTTTTAGATTTACTTTTCCCGTCAACTTGACCTTGTTTTTAAGGCTTGGCAGACTCGCCTGACAAATTCTGTATTATTGACTTTTTAATATTTATTTTATCACAGTTTGTCCGTTAGTAAGATATATATCCATGCTTTATGCCCCGAAATTTCTTTTTTATGATACATGTAAATTTTATGATAGCGTATTTGCTTTTCATTTTTCACGCATAGCAATATGGATTGTAAACGCGATGAAATGTTCGTTGTAAATATCGCGTGTTGTAAGCCGGAAATCATTATGTGGCATGGTAATGGATATATGATCCCCATCACCATTTATATGGCTTCCATTGTAGAGGGCTGTCAGCTGGTTTGATTTTTAGGTTAGTCACGCAAGATCTGCACTCAATACATCTTTGTCAAGACTTTCGGCCGATCGTTATAGCATGGAAAATCCCTTGAATTTTTGTGTCAAAAATGTAGAGTTAAATTCGTTCAAGCGCGTGTTGTTTTCACGTTCCGAGGTGTCCGTCAAATGTTTCTTTTGTCGATTATTACTAAATTCTTTCAGGGTGTTACTATGGTGTGTCTACCGTTACATGTGCGTGTCCACCATACACTCAGAAGTGTGTGTAACCAATATGGAGGTAACTAATCTTGTTCGCCTACTTTTACATCAAGTTGTGTGAAGGAACTGAAACCTATGGACAGGGGGTATATTCATTTGGCTAACACAGACAGTCCCCGAACTAGTAATAGAACTAAAATAAGGAAAATCGGAATAAAATTATGGCCTAACCCTAACCTGGTACACATAGTGCAGAAGTACCGACAACTTCATGGCAAGAAACCTCACGCTGTAGTAGTACCACTTACTGTTTTGAATGTGTTTATGTTAGTAGTTGTCGTTACTTCGAGTCGGAGAGGACAGGTAGATATGATGTTGTACGATCACTCGAACACTTGAGCGAGAGAAAATATGTCATCGAAAATAATCATATAGAAAATGATTTGGAACAACGACCTTGTTTCAGGGAAATAGTACTAGTAAAAAAAATGGCGGAGATAAATAAAGCACGATCATTATCGTATAATAGATAATGTGCTTTCCATATCACGCCCTGGTGAAGATTTTCCGAATAGAAATTCGAAACGCCGGCAAATTACATCGTTTTGCTATGTACAGGTTGTGCGTCATTTTTCTTCGACATGAATATACCTGGTGGAAATCATGCGCTCCTGGTAACAATGGGTTGTGAAAAGCACAGTATCTATCCTTATGTTTGAGGGAATGTATCAAAAAGTTAGCAACCACTCTGGTAGTGAATCTGTATGCACCGACTTGTAAGCAAGAATCAAAACGACTATTTGGTGTTTTTTTAATACAAAGCATTGTAGTTGAACACCCTAGGCCAGCTCGAATGGCTGTATCGTTACAGTATCAGATTTGCATGGATACGTTGCCAGCTGATATTTACTTCCTTCCGTATCATCATATTGTTTTAAGTGCCAATGTAGAATGCGTGGTAGTATTTCTTTATGACTCCGCGCGTGTCGAGACTGCGCTTCCTAACTGTATGCTTCCAAGTCTCTAAAACGGCAACGGTAAAACAATATAAAGATAGCGATAATACAGCAGAATAACTTAACTCAGTTTGAGGCAGAAGCTTGCTGTTGCAGTTCAGATGCGCGACACGAGAGATCCTCAAGTCGAGTGTCAATCTAGAAAAAAAAAATCGAAACGTCACCAACGGTTGACGCTACCCGGATCTAGGTGGCGCTATAGGAAGATATCGGGCAAGGAAAGGGGGACCCGGGGCGCCCTGTGTCACGTAATTCTTGCTGTACGAAACCAAAGTGGGAACTCTCACTACTCACTAGTAGTAAGGGAAACTCGTCTCTGAGCAAAGTTGGCAAATATCCATTGACCCCTGTTTTTTTGGAGTATTCATCAAATTCAACTTCTTACTTACAGAATATTAAATCTAAATGTACTTTATAGGATTAAGTAGTTGTTCGGGTAAGTAGTTAGTAGTTGATGCTCGCTATCATATACATTTGTATTCCTCTCAATGATGGCGGGTACATTTTCTGGGAATGAAGGAACTCCTTGGGCCGATCCCGAAGAAAAAAACGTTTTAGAAAATTTAAAAAGATTACATCCAAATCGGAATGACAGGACTATAATAGAAAAAGTATACGGACAATTACTGGATATAAAATCGGGGACGAACAGTGTGCTGGACGAGATTTATGATGGATTTATCTATTGCTGGATTATAATAGAAAGTGCGTTCAGAGCTTCGGACAAATATAAATTCCGCGTGAAGATAATATGGACGGGTCGGGAAACTAAACAGGAAGTTCAAAGGTTATATGAAATTCCCGCTCAATATCAGAATCTTATTATTAACGGACGAGCCGTCTCAGATGAACAGACCCTCGAAGCGTTTGATTTTCAACCGACGGGGCAAATCGTTTATGTCTTTCTCACCAAGAAGAAAATAAATTATGCGGAATCGAATATCAGAATAAGTGATGTTATATCCCCGAGAGAGAATGTTGATATGGCGGATGGAGCCGTTGGTAAGTGATTCTTATTTATTGTGCCGTATTTCTTTATTTTTGCACTGAAAAGTCTCCATACCTGACATGAGCAAACTGCGGCCCGCTGGCAAAAACCGGCTCGTTGGGTAATTCAAGCTGACCCACCTGATACTGCCATAACCAAACTAAAACCTAATTTCGATGTTTTCGCTAAAAAGTATCTCATGGAATTTGTTGAGATTGCGATTTTGGCGGGAGGCTTATTATTTTCCACTTTTGCTTTTCTAACACTGTAAATATTGTTCCTAAAATGTAACTTTTTATGTCGCAATCACATGAGCCGCAAGGCTAGGCCGGTTCTGACCATGGGCCAAATGTTTTTCCCACCCCTGTACTAGACGAGCTGCCACAAATATGCAGATATACATGTCTTTATCAACACTCTGAACAAGGATCAAGACAAGCAACATACTTATTTTAAATTATTATGTGAGGAGGTGACATGACTAAGACTCTTGGCAAGGTAGAGGTATACTCAAACAAAGGCCATATACAAGAAGTCACGGCTATCTATAGCTAGAAACTTGTTTGTGGAGTCTCTGCTGTTTTTCTGTATGAAACTCTGTGAATTCATTACATTCGGAGTAAACTGTTCGGCAATATGGCGCATCGTGCTGTAAGCGTTAGTAAACACGCTCGTCACTGTACCTCTGATTACACTGTGTGGGTTCACAGGTTCGAATCCTATGCGGGCATTGCGGGAATGGTTATGTGTAACAGGATTGCTGTACTCCTCGTCGCCGTATGGTAGTTCACGTAATCCTAAACTGACTGATTAACAAGTTCTTTGGATCTGAGATGCGTAACGGCGCCAATATCGTTACCTCCAATTTTAAATAAAACTATTATAAATGATTCCCAAATTCAAGAATTCATTATTTCGAGTATATCGAATTTAGACTGTATTAGGAATGTTTTTATCAAATATTTATATCCACTCACTTTTCCAATTACAATCCCAGGCGGCAATCCTAGAGAAACAGTTCCAGCGAGAGTATATGACCCCATGGATGCAGATACTGACGGTAGCAGTGATAATACTGCGGACACACCTTCTACCAGCTCTTCAGGATCAAGCAAACGACGAGGAGGGAAAAAACGAAGCCAGAGAAATAGAAGGCGCTGAATAAATTCTATTCGCCAGTGAGACGCTGGTTGTTCTAAATTGAAGGAAACAAAAAAAATAAATGTGTTTGCGATCAGTAGCAGAAGCGTTAATAATATAGACTTATAATTGAAACTTCGATTGAGATTCACAATCTCCTTGTATTCACTGAAGGGGAGAGGAAAGTCGATGAAACAAAATGGAAGAAATGATGAGTTTGTGATTAGTAGGAAGCAGAAAAAAATTAAAATAATAATCGAATTTGATTGAATATTATGGTTTTTATTACATTTCTCCACGAGCAACTTCCCCTCTAAGCTGGCCGAGAATTCCCGCGCAGTACTTTCATTCTGCCGCGCACTGCATAAGTAATAAAATGTTGTCTTCTTTTCTTTTCCGCGCAGACCTTTTTTTTGGAGCTCACATGGCCTTCTATTCCGCGCAACTAAGCAAGCTCTTAGAGGGAACGTTGTCCACGATTAGAGGAAAGCCGTTGAGGCAAAATTGCTTTTCTGTCTGACCACTTCAACCACTTATTGGGGATGCATATAGCTGTGTGCTATGGATTCAAAAAAGATACGAAAATATCGATTAACGTCTGAATTGAACTAATAACTGAAATTTTGACTGGTATTTACGGTTTCCTCATATTTACCCAAGAGAGAGACGGAATCCTATAAGACGGCTTGATCACATGACGTGCCAATGTCTTCCTCAGTTCATGTAAATTGTATACGTATATAATTAACCAATGTACTTATCCCAATGATTGAGTTGTGTGTTTCGTTGCATATTTACTTTTAATTTAATTTTTTCATAGCCACGCATAAGAACAAAAAAATTTTGTATGAGTAACTGTGAACTTTATCGGGCGCTCCAGAAGTGTGTGTAACAATATGGAGGTAACTAATTTTGTTCGCATACTTTAAATCAAATTCTGTAAAGGGACTGAAGTCTATGGGCACGGGAATATTCAGTTGGCTAACACAGACAGTCCCCGAACTCGTAATAGAACTAGAGTAAGGTAAATCGGAATAAAAGTATGCCCTAACCTTAATCCGGTACGCACACCTCGGGAGTACCCTTTATCGAGCTCTAAGAGGATAATATGCTTTTAATTTTTACTTAATTGTTGTTGCTACTGTAAAAATAAAAAACACATTTCTGCACTACTGCACCAATTTAGCAATTTTCCGTATTCAAGGTTTGGGTTCTGGTGGAGTATATTACCTATTATAGTATATTACATGGCTTACGTGCTTTATAGCCCTCTTGGTCGGTTATTCAACGATATGTGTTGCCATGGTTACTCCAGCCTGTCGTGTCTGGAGTCGTCTTCTCCCGTTAACTAGAATGACACCGGGATATCGGGTCGCTTAGATGCGTATCAAAGTCAGACTTTTGTTAGTATTTTATGTTTGACTTATTTTTCAGTATGATTTAATGTCAGACTAACTCCCTCATAAGTGGCGCTGCATGTGGTGCCCGGAGTCGCTTCCTTAACTAGAGTGACACCGGGATATCGGGTCGATTAAATGTGTCTTAAAGTCCAGCTGTTGTTAGTATCTTATGTTTGACTTCGTTTTCAGTATGATTCAACGTTAGACTCACTCCCTCATAAGCGACGCTGTATGATAACCATCACTGGTTTACCGCATCTTCCTTTACACTGAAATGCAATTTTTTATCTTTATTAAATATGTTTGTCCGATGTGTACTTTCGATTTGTGATTAAATAAACTAATGACTGACTGACCGCTATGCGTTCTAAAAAACTTTCATTTTCTCCGAAACGGTAATGCTTCATTTTCTTCCTATAAATTAGTTTATCTTGGAATTTTATGCTTAGATCAACACTTTACATCAGGGGTGGCAAGGTTTTTGGACAAGGGGCCAAAACTTTCGCCCACTTAGAATGGCGGGCCATGTAAGTGTGACGTAAAAAGTAAAATTTTATGAACAATATTTACATTGTTACAAAAGCAAAGGCGGAAAACAATAAGCCTCGTGCCAAAACTTATTTAATCGCAAACTAATTCCTTGAGCTATTTTTAGCAAAATTTTCAAAATTTGGTTTCAGTTTGGTTGTGGCACCATCGGCGGGTCAAATTTAATTACCCGACGAGCCGTATTTGGCCCGCGGGCTGTATTTTTCTCATGTCAGCTTAGAAAAATATTATCTTTTCGTTCGCTATTAATTAACCGCTTTTGTTACGCACAGGTCGACTGAGGTTGTAACACGTTTATACCACGCTTAAACCACTGTGCCAGCTTGTTCACCTTTCTCTGCTCGTGAGAATATCTTCTAGAAGTGCTGTTGTTCGTTCCATATACCCCTTATCTAATGAACTGTACGTGTGCGCTATATTTTGTCTAAAGCCGGCAAATTCCACTTACTTTTGAGCCCCGAACAAGGCTCGACATAAGCTGACACATAGACTTGAACATACTGAATACCGCTTCGAAATACATAAAAACCATACCGCTGTCAAAGTGGTCTTACATCAGCTGCCACGCAACGCAACTGTTATGCCGGCGCCCGACTAGTACCGCGCGCTGAGAGAGATCCGTCTTCCACCGCGCGTTAGTTTTAAATATCCCAGTTAGCCTAGCCTAGGCTACTTTGATACCAGGGGAATCCCCTATAATTGCTCGTCGGGCATTTATTCATGCGAGACCTATGTACGCGTTGGCGTTATAAAGTGGAACGAAATTAAATATAGAATTGGGTGTGTTCAGTCGTTGTGTGTAGAAAATGAGAAGTCTATGAATCATAAAACCGAAACAATAACGTATCTTCAGTTTCTGGGGAATACTCTACAACGGCCTGCCGGGCATTTAGCATACGAGACTTTTGTACGTGTGGCGTAATATTGTAATAGTACTAAATGTAATATCGGAATAATACTAGAAAATATTGAACAGATTGCGCCATAGCCATTTTCTCAGTCTTTGTGTATGTGGAACAGGAAGTCATTTGAAGAGAACTATCGTGAATAGCAGCGGGGTAAACTCGTTGGCGGTATTCGCATGTTTCGTGAACAGCTGCGCTGAACAATGGAGAAACATTGACTGGCAGAAACAATGTAGAAATATAGTAAAGTGAGAATTTCCAGTTACGAGTTTTCAGAGTTCATGTCTTGGTATGTCAGATAGTAGTGAATTTTAAAAGGTTGTATTTTCAAAACATAGCTAGGTGTGACTTTTGAAGATGAATTTTCGTGTTTTTAAAGAGTATATATATATATTATATTATGTGCGCTAAATAAGATATTCGTAGTGTCTTTCTTATATTCACAACTAGATGATTTTTAGGTGATAAATTTTCAGTTTCACATGAGGCCCACGGGTCTAGGTTCTTACCATTTTAATATGCTCTTATACAACAGGCTGACGAAGTAAAATTACTAAAATTGTGACATGCTTGAAAGGTAATATAATGTAGAAAATAAATTCATTTATTTTAAAGAATATTAATTTTCGTTTTTTTCCTCAAATCTACTGGACTCCCCGTAATACCGTGTTTCCCCGAGAATGCAATCCTTTAAAACGGGTAGGAAAGATTTCTTACTATCGACTGAGTCAAAAAAAAAATTTGCGTTTTTGACTAGGTCTTATTTTAAGGAGAGGCTTATATTAAAATCATTTTTAAAATCCAGGCTAAGTCCAATATATTCGGGGAAACACGGTGGTCTCCAAATCACGAGGGGTCAGTTAAAATTCAGCACAGTAATTTTTTGAGTAATGTTGATTTTATAGAATCGATTTTTTTTTTGAATTTGGTGCGAGAGTCACGGGTACTGATTTGATAGGCTTCGAATGAGAAGTACTTGAGTCATATGAAGGAAATCGTTAAAAAATTTATTTAAATTTAAAAATTCACTCACAATTTTTCATTCCTAGGCTTCATAATGTATCTTATGCTAGTTTGCAGTGAAAACGCGACCTTTAGTAAAGCAATAAATGGCAACATGGGCACTGGACACCGTCAGGAGAGATCAAATTTCAGAAGAAATTTTGATTTTAGACCCGGAAAAAGTCGACAGAAATGTAACGAAAATGTTGTTAAAGGCTTTAATTCAAGCAAAAAACGAGAGAATTGACATTACAGATACGCCTCACGGATTTATTGGATGTAAAATAATTGTACAAAGCGTTTTTAATGAATCAAAACCAGTAACGTTCAGAATCAAACTCAGCTGGACTGGTCTGGACGTGAAAGAAGAGATTTCCCGGCTTTATAAAATCCCGACAAAATACCAAGTCTTAATTATCAACGGAATAAATATCTCAGATTCTGAAACTCTACAAAGTTGTGATTTTCACCCCAAAAACCAAACAATTTATACATTTTTGATGAAAAAGAAGATAGACTACAAAAATTCGGATATACGTATTTGTGACGCAATAGCACCGGATGATGATCAATTATCACCTCATAATTCCGATGAAGACATCTTGCAAATATCTGACGAACGGAAGATGACTTCTAAAGGCGATAGCGGTTACGTTAGCGGGATTCTTCCCCCACTGCCTACAAGCTCTAAGGTGAAGTCAAAAAAGAGAAACAGGCGCAGAAAACGTAGAAAGTAAACTAAGCCATCTTATCGGCTTTCCTGTCTCAAGATTTGAATGAAAAACCCTAGTTATCGAAAAGCTCAAACAAAAACAATTCCGAAACCTGACTATACTTCTGACCCATGGAATTAGCCAATTGTCCAATTTCACCAGAACTGAGGACTTTAAAAAGTCCAAAACTTATTCGGACCCATTTTGACTTGGCCTCGAGACTCAAGTTTGAGACACTATGAAGAACGTTTTTATCGGCTTTCCTATCTCCAAGGAATCTACACTCCACTTTAAGAAATAGCAAAACTTATTATGATTTGGACTCAGAACTTATACCTCGCCCCAAATACCAGAAAACTGACGGACTCCGACGCCTTGTTAAGAAAACTATCTCCGCGATCCTGTTTCGCCCTGAACTATTTCAATTTCTACTATTGCCAAATGCCATATTTTCGGAATAACTGTATTATTACTGTGTTTTATTGTATGGTTTATTGAGGAAAATTTACCAACTTTTCATTTTATTTCTGTCACGTCTTCTGTTCTGTATAATTTCTAAGTCTACTAAACTGTAACTAATGCCCCATTCTGTGCTATAGCCATGCGACAATTACCTGTATTTGAAATGCTTATGCGACTTATTTTCTATATCTGTAATATCAATAAACTTAAGACATTTCAACAGTGTATTTTATGTTGACTCAGATCAGGGGTGACGAACCCATATGCTGCCGCGGGCCACTTTATCAGTCACCGCTGAGTGAGCGGGCCGCACAATTTTTAGTCGTACTACCGTATGATACCTGTTGTTTTTCATCTACAAAACGAACAACGGCATCCATACAGCTGATGTAATTCAATTATATAATGCAATATAAACGCTCGGCTCGGATGTTCGAGATCCGAATTTCCTTTCGAATACCACAGCATTTTTAACACGAAAGTTTAGAGCCCACTACCTGCGTAATGCAAAATCAATTTTTAATGTACTAATTGAAATAAATTGTAGTCAAGAAAGATCAAATTTCGGAAGAAATTTTGAGTTTAGACCCGGAAAAACCCGACAGAAATGTCACGAAAATATTGTTACATGCATTTATTCAAGCAAAAAACGAAAGGATTGATATTACAGATATTATTAGATTAATAATTGATATTACGCCTAACGGATTTATTGAATGTAAATTAGTTGTACAAAGCGTTTTTTGTGAATCAAAAACAGTAACGTTTAGAGTCAAACTCAGCTGGACTGGTTTGGACGTGAAAGAAGAAATTTTCCGGCTCTATAAAATCCCAGCAAAATACCAAGTAGTTATTATCAACGGAATGACTATTTCTGATTCTGAAACTTTAGAAAATTGTGACTTTCATCCCAAAAATCCAACAATTCATACATATTTGTCAAAAAAGAAGATAGACTACAAAAATTCTGATATACGTATTTGTGATGCAATAGCACCGGATGATGATCAATTATCACCTCATAATTCCGATGAAGACACCTTGCAGCTATCGGACTTTCGATTCGAAACACAATTGTTGTAACTGGTGCAAAACGTCGCGGAAAATTTAAATATATTAGAAGGGGTCGCGAACTTAAAAGTTTGGGAAG